CAACCTAATACGTCTTAAGTGATAAATTCCAATTTTTTATTAGTAAGCAAGAACAAGGCTGGGGGAGCACGACTAGGTGAATGCTTTTACCATAAGATCCATGGGTACAGTTGGAGAAAATAAATGCACGTTAGGGTTAGGTAATGAGACATCAAACATAGTTGGGTTATAAGTATAATATGTCTCTCTATTATGATGTTTTATCAAACATGCCCCTTTACTATTTTTTACGTCAAACATGCCCCTGTCCTTTGTAAAAATTATCAAATATGCACTTTTGTTAAAATTTTCATCCAAAAATTATTAACCAACGCCGAACTTTGGTTTGGGCGACATAAATATTTAAAATATCCCTAATAATTTCACTCCATAATTTTTTTTGGTTCTTTTGTATAGCCAAATAATTCAAATAGTTTCACTTTGAAGAGACCCAGAGAAATAAATCGGGGGACAAAACTGATATTTTTCCTCTCATTTGCCGATGTTGGGTCGTCTAATCTCGGTTTAACCATGATTGACGATTTTTTCTATGGAAATTTTAGTAGAAGGGCATGATTAATAATTTTGTCAAAGTACAAGGGCATGTTTGTTGTGAAAAATAGTAGAGGGGCATGTTTGATAAAACATCATAGTAGAGGGACATATTATACCTATAACCCAACATAGTTTATTGATGGCTAATAAGAAATTACATTTCAGAATCAACATAGCAATGGATGCTAACTCATAGGCGAAAGAAATAGCATTCAACCCAAAATTCAGGTCATACCTTAAACCTCAACTTCCTGATGAGGAATGCGACCTTGATGTTCAATTGATGGAGTCTGTGCGTACAATCAAATTTTTTTTTTTTTTTGCTAAGAGTGCTTATGTTCATAATGACAAGCAACATATTGGGATGAAGAAGTTAATTCATTTGAGATGATCTTAGTAAAGATTGTGTGCTTTGGCTTTTGATGGTCACGAAGACAAAGTTTATGATCTTTTGGAAGAGTAGTTGAACAATCCATAGTTTTCATATTTAATTGTATGTGTGCATCCAAACTTATTTTTGGGTTTAATGGGGCAGAGTGACTTAAAAGTAAAGACAAAATTTCTCAGAAATTTATAAAGAATTAGAATTTAGAAGTTTCACTCAATCCCCTTTTTTTTCTTCGCCAGAATATCTCTTCTCTACTTTCTAATAATGCTAAGATTGTAACAATCAAACCCATGGAATACTTATTTTGTCAAGATGCGAAGCAAAAAAAAAAACTCACATAAAAGAAACGCAAATTGCATTACAATTCTTTTTACTTTCATAATTTTACTTTATAATTTTCCAATGAGATGTTGCAATATCAATCATCTTCTTATAAGGACTTTGTGGTGGCAACTGAGTCAGCGTTTCCTACCATCTCAAGGTATTCCCACGGTTTATTGTCAGCAACAGCTGCTATAATTTTTATTGGATGTCCCGATCTCTCTAATAGACCATCCTCAATCCAATAATAACATCTGCTTTTCTTGTTAGACTCATGGTACAAGGATGACAATAGATGAGACCACGTACATGTGAAACATCATGGATGTAGAAAACAAACAACATTATTTTCAAAAGGAATATTAACAATTAAAAAAAACTTTGTTTACCACTCAATCCGACTAACTCTGTGTCAACAGTCGGGTGTGAGTTTTTCTTTAGTTTGTTAATCGTAAAGGTAGTTGGCGAATGGGGTTAGGAAGACTCCATGTTTTTCTTCCTAAGGTTTATTTGGTATATTGCATTGTATGTGTTTTATTTGCTTATTCTTTTTGTTGTTTTTGTTATCAAATTCTCACAGTAACACCCTAACTCGGTCGTGCATAGCCCTTAATATCAACTTAACAAGCACATTATCACAGTCAACAACTTACTTATGAAAGGGGTTACTCACATGGGAAACACGATACCACATGCTATAAACGGGTGAGGGTAGCTCATACTTAAACATAATATTTTTATTACCTAGAAGTGGGGTTCGTACATAAAAGGCTCCCTCACGTTTGGGAGTGAGGCAACCGTGTGTTGCTAGTTACATTAGGGTCAAAACATGATCGAACTTACTTATAAACTTGGTTACTAACCATATTTGTGATGCAGTGTAGTTTTATGATTGCTTAAATTTGATGACTAAACACATAGTTTTCATATTTGTTTGTATGTGTGTGCATTCTTACTTATTTGGGTTTGGCGGCGCGGAGTGTCTTAGAAATAAAATTTCTCAGAAATTTATAAAGGATTAGAATTTAGAAGTTTCTCTCACCCCCCCCCCCCCTCTTTTCTTCGCGAGAAATACCTCTTTTCTACTTTCTAAAAATGGTAAAATTGTAACACTCAAACCCATGGAATACTTATTTTGCTAAGATGCGAATTAAACAAAACTTACATAAAAAATATATCTTCTCTACTTTTTAAAAATGCTAAAATTGTAAACCCCAAACCCATGGAATACTTATTTTGCCAAGATGTGAATAAAAAAAACTTATATAAAAGAAATACATTACAATTTTTTTACTTTCATAAATTTCCAATGAGATGCTGCAATATCAATCGTCTTCTTATAAGGACTTCGTCGTTGCAACTAGATCAGCGTTTCCTACCAATCCAAGGTCTTCCCATGGTCTATTGTCCGTGACAACTGCTCTAATTTTTCTTGGTTGTCCCGATCTTTTCAATAGACCATCCTCAGTCTAGTAATAACATCTGCTTTTTTGTTATACTCATGGTACAAGGATGACAATAGATGAGACCACGTACACGTGAACCATTAGGGTTGTAGAAAACAAACAATATTTGTTTCAAAAGAAATATTAGCAATTAAAAAAAACTTTGTTTACCACTCAATCTGAGTAACTTTGTGCCAACAGTTGGATGTGAGTTTTTCTTTAGTTTGTTAATAGTAAAGGTAGAGGTGGCAATTCTCAATCCAATCCACCAATCCAATCCACCAACCCATTAAAAATATTCACCTAATCCAATCCATTTAAATCCAATTCATTTGATCCAAATCCAATTGGATTGGTGGATTCATGGATTGATCCATGAATCCAAATGGCAAATTATGATTTGCTATCTATACTTTTTATATTTTACATTTTGGTATCCAAAATTTATTTTGTATATAGAAAATATCGTTGGAAAATTACGTTTTGGTACCTAAAAATTTTCATTATGACATTTTAGTACCTAAACTTTTCACATTTTACATTTTGATCCTTGGTTGAGGATGTCATTTGGATTCATGGATAATCCACTTGATCCAATCCATGAATCCACCAATCCATTAGATCCAATCCATTTGATCCATGGATCCACCAATACAATCCACCAATCCATGGATCAATCCATTTGCCACTTCTAAGTAAAGATAGTTGGCGAATGAGGTTAAGAAGACTCCTTGTTTTTCTTACTAAGGTTTATTGATCAATCATTATGATCAATAAATCTACAAAGCAAAATCGACATAATCAGCTGGGCACATTTAACTCGGGAGACCTAGAATTATCCCTAATAGCGGTGGAAGGCTCTACAAGTTCCATAATAAATATGCATAAGAGTAACGAGTGACTAGTGACAGAAATACATATATGGGAGAAAGAAACCAATCTTTGCATGGAAACCGAGTGTTGCAATGCAACTAGAAATTGCCTAGTTTTTCAGTACTCTATAAATTAGTGTTCTAAATTTCAAAAGTGAATTTAAAAGGGAAAGGTTCTTTTTTATTACTTTATTCTTTTTGTTGTTTTTTTTTTTCAACTCTCTCCCTCACCCTTTTACACGAAAAATGTAAAATAAGAAAAATCCAAAATCTGTATATCCCTTTCCCTTTTCTTTTTTCTAGCATAAACTCTTCTCTTTTCTGCTTTCGAAGAATATCGAGAATGTAACACAGTAAATCGATCAATTACTATTTTTACTAAAATTCATAGAACATAGCATCGAGTTAGTCGAGTACTAATTTACTAAAATGTTTTTCTTAATAATAAACATCAAATACTGGAAACATAAATGTCACTTAAAAGAAATTCAAATTGCATATTGTATTGTACTTGTAGTTCTTTGTAATTTTAGTGGCATATTGCATTGTATGTGTTTTATTCGCTTATTCTTTTTGTTGTTTGTTTTTTATTTCTTATCAAACTCTCACCGTAACACCCTAACTCGATCGTGCATAAGTCTCGATATCAACTTAACAAGCACATTATCAAGGTCACCAACTTATGAAAGGTTTTGTAAAAAAAACTTACTTATGAAAGGGGTTCCTCACATGCAAAACACGATACCACATGGTATAAACGGGTGAGGGGTAGCTCATATTTAAATATAACATTTTTATTACCTAGGAGTGAGGTTCGTACAAAATAGATTCCCTCACATTTGGGAGTGAGACGACCGTGTGTTGCTAGCTATGTGAGGATCAAAACACGGTCGAACTTACTTATAAACTTGGTTATTGAACATATTTATTTAAACTGATCTTCAACACAATGGGAAGCTATTGACCAACTTACTTAAAATGTAATTGCATTCTTATTTTAAAACATGTCTTTGTGATACAATGCAGTGATATGCTTGCTCAAATTTGAGGACTACGAGAGTAATCATTCTGCAACCTTCAATACTAGAGGAAAATAAGATTCTTTAAGAACATACAGTGTATTCTGTCAGTTAGTACGATTTCATATGTATCTGTATGATTTCATGATCTTATATATATTACTTGTGTGTTGCAAGAAAATCATGAATGTTTCCATAACAACATATAATAATGTTTTCTTTATAGCGCTTTAGCTAATTTAGAAGTTAACTCTTTATGATTTACAATCATGTTTTCTTTATAGCGCTTTAGCTAATTCAGAAGTCTAACCCGTCTATATTTATGTTAGAATCATTTTTCAAAGTTCTCGTTTGATTGATACAATTTTCTCAGTCATGTTTTCCACAATTATAACTTCGGGACAAACTTTCTTGCTTGTCACGAGCATGAGACATGGCTAGGACTACATGTTTTTTTACTCTCCGAACTCTATTTTCACCTATTGGCTAATCTTGATGCGGCTGGTATTTTAGAATTCAGATTGATTAATAATACAAGCTAGGGTGCAATGTGGCCTGACCTTTTACACGAAAAATGGATTTTCCTGTTTGGCCCTCAAAATTAAACCAGTTATGTACTCACAGAAGAGATTCTTCTGTTAATGACGTTACTTCTCCTTAGAAAGGTTCAGTGTTCAGAAGCAACTACTATGGTATTACATATACCAAAAGGAGTAACAAGAAACACCTTTAGGTAACTTTGGAAGGAGTGAAAAAATAGAAGTTCTGTTGAGAGAGAAAAGTGAAAACTCCGGCAGTGACAACGGTGGTGACCGCAGCAGCTGTAGTAACATTAAGCTCTTATCATTTCATCACCGGTTTGGTTGGAGATGGAGAAGTTGGAGGCTTCAAATCTTCATACCTGCCATGTTACGTATTGGACAAGTTATTATCAACTCCCACACCATCCACCTCTGTGATCAAATTGCATAACACACACACAGAGGTTAGTTCGTCGAGTCTCACATGGCGTAAGGAGAAAGCGGTCTTGCTGTTACTACTTCCTTATGAAGCTCCTCCTTCTGCTCTTCTTCAACCTTTGCTACAGATGTTGGAGATATTACAGGGCCATTGCCAATTGCTGCTCCTCCATTCGTAGAAGACGGTGGGGTTGGGGATGGTGATGCGGGTGGCTTGAAGTCATCATATCTGAAAAACCAAACACAGAGTCCAGCCAGGGATTACATGATTCAGTTGTACTTCATAAAACTGTTGCCAGCCAAGGAAAAAATGCACACTCACACATAGTATGGTGAACGATAAGAGTTGATACTAGAAGCAATCACTGCTGCTACATCATTGCCCTCTGGTGTTGTCAATGGTTCAACTGGCAATGCAGCTTCAGATGGTTTGGGCGGGAAGCTTGGTGGTGTTGGGCTAGGGGAGGTTGGTGGTTTCAAGTCCTCATACCTGCCCAAAAATGTAAAGAAGATGGTACATTCGTATTAATGATTTCAAAGTTCTGTGATAAGGCAGATGAAAAGCAAGCACTTGGAGTATTATGGAGGCTTACGCAGCATATGGAGAAAGGATGCTTGGTTTTTTTACTTCTACTGGTGAGGGAGATTCTGGACCAGCAATGGTTGCAGATGGAGCCTTCTGCTGGATACTAGGAGGACTTGGAGTAGGAGTTGTAGGCGGCTTCAAATCCTCATAGCTGTCAAGAAAAACTGACCATTAAACAGACCAAGATAGCAACATAAAGACACACTAAATACCTCCATATGGCCAACCTTAGATCATCAGGATGATCGTGGCTAATATTCACATATCCAAAAATTAGGCCTTCTCGTCCAAATGGTAAGAAATTGGAACGTTACGGAGGTATTTTGGCTGAATAGAATTTAAACTAGGACAAACTTCACACCATGTCCTGATGTTTGTAAAAACATCAAGCTAGAAGCTTGGAGTTAGCCTATGCAACTTGGATGCTCGACAAATGGGCTTACGCGGAGTAAGGTGAGAGTGGCCTTGTCTGTGCAGCCACTGGTTCTGGAACTTTCACTTCTGGAGGAGAAGTAGACACCTCAGTCGCCACCTTGTCTGGCGCTGGAGGTGAAGGCTTAGATATAACAGCTACATCTGGTTTCTGGGGGACATAAAAAGGTTATATCTATTGTCAAAACTACTACGAGAATGCCTTGGTGTCACTAGATCCTTTTGAAGATAACCAAAGCTTATGCAAAATTAAGAGGCATACCTTTGGTTTAACTCGTTGAGATGGTATCTTTTCGAGAAGCTTATCGAAAGGAGTCAGTGGTGCAGTTGTTTCTGCAATTACTTCCACCACTTTACAATAAGAAGTCCCCTGGTTTCTGGCCATAAATGCTATCAGTTCTGCCACCTACAATTTATAAATTCCAATTATCTTAAGCCACCTTCAAAAGACTCTTCAATAATGACGAGAAGGCTCTTGAATAAGCCACCTTCAAAAGTAGGCATACCTGAAGATTTGAGACCTGACCCCCAAATAACGTGTCTTCAGTCGAAAGCGTAACGTTATGAGTCGCCTTGTAAGAATCAGTTGGCCGCTCCATGCCACCCGGTCTCACTATCTGAACATCAGTTTTTTGAGTGATCAAGTTTTTCGAGCTAAGACAATCACAAACATGAGCACATAGAATTTACTTACAGTGTATGGAAGGCCACTAGCTATTAGTGCTTCTTCTGCCTTCCTCTTCCAGACCAGGACCCCCCAGAACAAACTAGACAAGCAAATACAGGAGGGGTGTTGGATTACAAGTTTCACATGCTTACTCAGCAATTTTTTCAATGTCAGATTCACTGCACTTACTTCAGGATTGCAGCTGGGAATCCTATTTTGTTCGTTCCCAATGATGAAACCATGATAAAGTGATCAACTTTTGCTGCGGTTGCTGCACAAAATGAAGAAAGATGGTAGGTATCACAGTTACATCTCTAATAGAATTATTGGATGTCCCCGAAGGGACAATCTCTAATAGAATTAAGAACCACTTAAGATGTAGCAATATTTCCATTCCAGTAGTTTTCTCACTCACCTGCATCAATGAGGTTCTTAGTAGCTTGGAAATCAATCCGGTAGGGCCCAGTAATATCAAGGACCTCCTTCTCGCTCGCACCAATGCAGCACAGAACCACAGAGGCATTGCCTAATGCCGGTAAAATCTGAGCTGGCTTCTCCAAATCACATTCTACCAGTTCAAGTCTTTCTATGGCTGGGCTAAAGACCAGATAATTAACACCTGTTACAATAGGACTTCCATTGCAATAATCAACCAGAATTCAGAAGTAAGCTTATTTATCTTTACCTTGAGAGCCCTCAGAATCAAGTCTCATTTGCTTCACACTCTACAATACCAACAAAAAAAAAATGCTAACTTTATTGTTTTCATGACACTATGAAGAAATAGAATTCCAAATAGAAATTCATTTAGCTGATCACATCTTTTCCCCATCATGATCATTCACCTGGACGAGATTTTGAGCTCTCTGAGCACTCCTAACACCAGCTCTAACTTGGAACCCCAATTTGATTAGTTCCCTAAAACAAAGGATCAACAAACATTCAGAAAAACTACTAACTGTATACGGAGCAGAACAAAAGTTCATTGTCATGATTGGAAAAAAAAAATCACCTTACTGTCCGAGAGCCAACTTTACCGGTAGCACCTGCTACAAAAGCAACATTCTCATCTTTCCCATCTCCCTCACTGCTTGCTTCAGCTCCCACAGCGCTGATCCGCGTGGTACCTACCACAAATTCAAGGACACATTCAATTGCAAACTGAAGTACACAAAGAGAAAGAGAAGAGAAGGGTAAACAAACAAATATGCAGAGCAGTGATGTTCCACAAACAAACATTATCTTCCGGGACATCCGATAACCTCTATCATAAGTTGGCTCAGGCTTCACATGAGACATTTCAGTGAGGATTAAACACAAACAGATGGTATGCATTATCATGAAAAACGAAACGAAACACCCCCCCCCTCCAGGCCTCCAAATGTTTCAGCTAGCAGATTTCACAAAACCTGCTATAACCACAAACCCTCTAAGAACCTACATTCCCAATTTTACACGACTCGCGCCCACTCTATCGTCTACTCCAACCAACCCATTTCCTAAAGCTGAATGCTTTCATCTAATTTGGTCAGCAGATTTCTCTCGGCAACCTCCAGCTAGCAAATGACTGATACTTGCATCAATACAATCCACTAAACCAGGGGAAATTCAATCAAACAAGCTCCAAGAGGGATGAATTCATACCTGAAGCTTGAGCTTTGCTGTGGAGGATTCTGAGCTTACTGGGATGAGGGTACTTGTTGAAATTTGGAAGAGTGATGATGGGGTGAGCGAGGTGGAGTGAAGTTTTGGCGGCAGTGATCTTGTTTAAGGAGGTGGTGGTGTTGGAAATGGCGGAAGAATGCAGTGGGCAAGCTTCCATTTTTCGTTCCTGATTTCTGGTTTAGGCTCTGAAACTGAGACTGAGAGAGGGTTCCATTCCATCTAATTATCTATGTTTTAAGGAAGTGTTGTTTGGCAGCGGCGAGCGATTGCCACACCATCTGAGGTTCTGGATATGATGGGCCATATCCCCGAATTTGTGTTTCCCTATTGGTCGTTTTTAAGTCCACATATCTTTCTTTTATGATCAGAAGTTCAGAACCCACACATCTCCTTTGCCACCCTAACTAAAGTACGATATGATTTCTCGGTGGAAAATATGATGTGATTTTGCTTATTAATGTATTTACATACAAATAAGTTAATAATTGATTCATGTAAAAAATGACATAAATCTTTTATTATAAGATATTGGATAGGAAAATAAATGAAATTGTGCAAAACTTATTGAAGATTTATTTGTATTTTTATAGTTTACGGGTTAAATTTATGGTTCACAGCTTATCATCGAGATGACTTAAAACTTAGGTTAATTGATGAGTTAGTTGCGGTTCTATGTTAGATCATCGTTAGCAATTAAAATCCAAAAAAATATATAATTAAAAATTACGTCTATGTTTGGATGTTAATACTTAGCACTCAAATCTCGTTAGAAAACTAAATAAGTATTCACTAAAACTAGCTCAACTCACAAGTATGGATGAACTCTCTCTATAAATATTATAGCTCTTGATATTTCTTGATGGATACATATGAGTGCGGACTGGGGAGGTGCTTCTTACACGGGTCTCACATCAGCAATAAATGACTAAGATCAATCTAATCATATGACTAAAATTGAATCTATAGAACTCTATATGCAAATTTTTGCTCTCCATTATTCCCCCCCCCCCCCCAAAAAAATATTTACAAATGTTCCACATCCCTTTTGGTGTTAGATGCTTGAAGCACGAGTGTGAGAGAGATTTTGGTAAGGCAGGGGCGGAGCTACGTTTGGGGGGGGATCCCCCGAGAATTTTGAAAATCACGTATAAGTACAACGAGAATTTTGAAGTTACGTATTAATTAAGATATTTGTACAAATACCAACAGTGTGGAGCTTGAAGCAAATATGGTTGTATGAAGTCTAGCGGAGAAGTGAGTGTCTGTTGTGTTGTTAGTAGCACAACTTTTTGATTTTTGCCTTATCAGATTAATTTTTGCTAAAAAATTTCAGTACAATCACCTAACATTCATACTTTAATTTCAAATTAAGTAAATTAAATTCATCAACCTATACATTATATCTTCAAATATAACTATGGATATGTAACAACTTTTTGATTTTTGCCTTATCAGATTAATTTTTGCTAAAAAAATTCAGTACAACAAAAAATTCAGTACAGTCACCTAACATTCATACTTTAATTTCAAATTAAGTAAATTAAATTCATCAACCTATACATTATATCTTCAAATATAACTATGAATATGTAACAAGTTAATTATTTTTTCTCATTATTCAGAGACATTTATTTGTTACTTATAATAACTGAAGAACATGGTTCAAATAAAAAATATATGATTATTTTTTGTTGAAAATTTATTTAATAATGCCGAACATATTGTTGCTAATTTTTTAATTTAAATCATAATTTTATTGCTAATAATTATCTTAAATAATAATTTTTAACATGACATTTATATTATGTTATTTTATTTTTATTTTTTACGATAATTACGTGCTGAAATAAATTTTGGCCCCCCAAACTCCAAATCCTAGGTCCGCCCCTGAAGGCAGCCATGTAAGTTAGGAAAGAGTTATGTCGTGTTTTCTGTTATAACTGCGCTGCCTACTGCGGATCGGGAAATCGACGGAATCGACAAAGCAAGAACACGAAAAACAAAAAAGCACACGACACAGATTTACGTGGTTCAGTAACACAATGTGTGTTTAGCTAGTCCACGGGCATGAGAGCCAGATTCACTATATCGAGGAGATTACAGATTACAGAGGAGTATGAGAAGTATTTATAGTACTTCTCCTAGGTCTAACCCTAATTCAGTTTGGTAAAGTAAAAGCAGTTACAACCAGACCCAGAATCCGAACCCGAACCCAAATAACATTGAGCCCATACACCGCCGATTATTCCAATCGTAGCGGCTAATAGTCTGATTCAAGTCACATGAACGTCTTTGTCCGAGTGAACCACCCATAATTAAGAAAACTGCAAATCCTGATTGCTGTTTTATATGCCTGAATGGGAGAACCCGGCAAAAGAAGACAGTCAGTCAATGGTGGCGGGCGGCGGCAGCCCCAAAATTTCCTGGAGCTGATCACCCAGCCATCAATTATGAATCGCCACTTAATACTTATGGACTTATGGTTACAAATTTTTTTAATATATAAATGTGTACTGATTAATTCAATCTAATCAATTAATAATTAATTTTATTGCTGATACGTACTTTGTGTATCTTAATCGATCAGGGCATGCAAATTAAACAACGTTATTTTTTTTTTCTCCCCCTTCTGTGAGCTTCCCAAAACGTGGGATATGATTATTATCAGTTGTAGATGGAGAGTCAAAATTGAAGACCGCCGGCGAGGTCTCTTCATCATATGTGTGTGTTGGTTGTTAATATTGACTGTCTCGAGTAAGAAAATGGGAGAAGAAGACTAACTGCTTGCGAGTATTATAATAAATTAGTAATACTCTAGTAATATATACTTATATTAATGTATGAACTATATATGTATCGTAATGGGTACACTACACTATCTTGTATCTAGTCACAGAAAAAAGTACATAAATAATTAACAACGTGACTCGTAAGTGCTGAGTTTGAAAATCGTATGAATGTCAAGTTATGATTTTTTCACCGGTTCGTTACAATAGTTGTTTGTCATTCCTACTTATACTCGATAGACTCTCTATATAAAGATATTCTATAGATCCTTCTCGCGAATTGTTATGCCTATCCATTTCTGCTTGGAACCACGCAAATACTAAATGGTAAATAAATAAATTAATAAATAAAATAAAGTTTTGGTGGGCAAACAAAGCAGGACAGAGGACACAAATAGTGAAGTACTATTTGATAAGGCTATGGTTGGCATTAGTACGTCTTTGATCCTCTGAACGACACATCAATCACGCGTTTTATCATTGTTCGAAATGACAAATGTATGAATGCATATATTCTGTAATCGTGAATCATGAGACGAACACTTTATTTACACTTAGCCGTCTTAATATTACTCTAAATATGAAAAGACAAATGCTTAAACACTATCAACCTTCCTTACCAACCAATTTTTGGTCAAGAAACCCAACTCCAAAATCAAATAATTAATCAATATTAAAACAATACGGCAGGCTTAGGCATATATCGACTCCTCCATCAACCTGATCCCCCTCTGCTACTCGACAAACTTCCTCCCTCCCAAGACCTAAAACAATTCAACAAACAAATAATAATAATAATAATAAATCAACAAAATATTACAAAATTCACCTCAACCGCGAAAAAAATAATTATTTTTGTAAGAAAAATGGACAAGAAAAAAAGCATCTAACGGGAGATGGATATAAGTATAACTACCAGCAGGACATGAAATGCGCATTGCTAATTTGCATTCTCGCCTTGCCAAATCCGCTCGCTCTTATAACGACTTCTTCAGCGCTCTCCATTTCCCCCACAGTCTAGTCTGCTGCCGCCATCATCGTCGCAGCCATGGCCGTCTCGCTCCAGTTCTCCCGGCTCTCACTCCGCGCCGACGGATTCATCACAACCTCCGAGAGCCGTCCAGGCGCTTTCAGTAGCCGGCGGGGGAGGAGAACGCCTTCTTCCGTCCGATGCTCCGGCGGTGCCGGAGACGAATCCGGATCCTTGGCTGTGGATTCCGAATTCGACTCCAAGGTGTTCAGGCACAACTTGACCAGGAGCAAGAACTACAATCGGAGAGGGTTCGGGCACAAGGAGGAGACTCTCGAGCTCATGAGCCAAGAGTATACCAGTAAGTCCCCCTTGTTCGTTTCCGTTGCTTTTTTTTTTTTGGTTCGCAGTTATTAGAGAATTTCGATTCCGTTTGGCTTCCGAGGAAAGGGAGCCGAGTAGTGATCAATTTCATCGGTTTTTACGTCTAGCTTAGTTGTGGGGAAGTATCTGCAAATTTCTGCAGCTACTGAGAATTAGATTGATGGTTGAGAAATTGAGGATCTCTGTGTGGTTTCTGATTGTGATCTGCGGGAATTTTTTATTTTATTTTAGGCGACATCATCAAGACTCTGAAGGAGAACGGGAACGAGTATACTTGGGGAAATGTTAATGTGAAGCTGGCTGAAGCGTATGGGTTTTGCTGGGGGGTTGAGCGAGCTGTCCAGATTGCGTATGAAGCTAGGAAGCAATTCCCGGAGGAGAAGATCTGGCTCACCAATGAGATCATTCACAATCCGACTGTTAATAAGGTTTGATCAGTGGAGTTTGGAATTGTTGCTTCTCCGTTATGGAGCTTGTTCAGTTTCACTGAACTTCTATTTTGTGTGTTTCTCGTTCTGGCAGCGGTTGGAGGATATGCAAGTCGAAAACATTCCGATCGAGGAAGGGGAGAAACAGTTTGAGGTTGTGAACAAGGGGGATGTGGTGATTTTGCCTGCTTTTGGGGCTTCAGTTGATGAGATGTTGACCCTCAGTGACAAAAACGTGCAGATCGTCGATACAACTTGCCCTTGGGTGTCTAAGGTACTTATATTCCCCCCTGGTGGAATGACCTGCTCGTGCTTACCCGATTTTGAGTACTTGTTTGGTTTTTGGGTAAATGGTTTGGTCTTCATACAACTGACAAGAAGCCTCTCTGTAGGTGTGGACTACTGTTGAGAAACATAAGAAGGGAGAGTATACTTCAATCATTCATGGTAAATATTCTCATGAGGAGACCGTAGCAACTGCCTCTTTTGCTGGAAAGTATATCATTGTGAAGAATATGAGCGAGGTGGGCCTGGGAGTCTAAGGACTAACTGTTTTCTTGACCTCCAAGCAACATATATTATCGTTAACATGCAGATACTTGTTAGTTCAATCCTAAGAAATTCTGGACTTCACACAGGCAATGTACGTATGCGATTATATTCTTGGAGGGAAACTCGATGGATCTAGCTCAACCAAACAGGAGTTTCTAGAGGTATGTTTTTGTTTGTTGTTAAACTCAGTTATACCGGTGATTGTGAGAAAATAGAATTATGTCATACAGTGTCGACTCATTTTAGTTTTGGCTTGTTTGCAGAAATTTAAGTATGCCGTGTCTGAGGGATTTGATCCGGATAGAGATCTTGTCAAAGTTGGGATTGCAAATCAAACTACAATGCTTAAGGGAGAAACTGAAGAAATTGGTAAACACCCATGTGATTCATTCTTTTGTTAGAAAGAGTTGCAAATCCATTTGTGATTATGAGTTTGTTGTCCTTATCTATCATTGTCAAACTTACAGGAAAATTGGCTGAGAGGACTATGATGCAGAAGTATGGAGTTGAAAAAGTCAACGATCACTTCATAAGTTTCAACACTATTTGTGATGCTACTCAGGTAATTTTTCAGACCAATAGTTTTAACACTTCACCTACTAAATAGAGCCTTTTACTTTCAGTTGCATAAAGGCTAATCTGTCTTTCCTAGTGCTACAATGTCCAATATAAGGCCTGATTCCTTATCATCACACAAATGACCTAATGGATCATTTGGACTATGGAGTGTAATTGTTTGGAAGATGGATTTTGGAGTGTGAATGGTTGATAATTAATGCAAGGGGGGTTTACATTCAATGACGAATTCTCAGTTCTGTGAGAATCTTCCTGGTAATCCTCTAGTGTGTTGGAAGCTAAAATTGTCTGCTTTTCTTTTGCAGGAGAGACAAGACGCCATGTTCAAATTGGTGGAGGAAAAAGTGGACCTTATTCTAGTTGTCGGTGGGTGGAACTCAAGCAACACTTCGCATCTTCAAGAAATCGCCGAGCTCCGCGGTATCCCTTCATACTGGATTGACACTGAACAGAGAATTGGCCCAGGCAACAAGATAGCCTTCAAGTTAAACGTAAGTGCAAATAAACATCCATTGCAACCTCGTTCCTTCCTTGCCGGACTTCAAAACTTCCATATCTGACTTGTTATTGTTTTATCCATCGATTCGGTTCGTCACTTCTAATCTCCTGTTGTGTTTATAATAGCATGGGGAATTGGTTGAGAAAGACAACTTTCTGCCAGAAGGACCAATTACCATCGGCATAACCTCAGGTGCTTCCACCCCAGATAAGGTAAACATCCCTTGCCTATGATCCCTAAACATTGCTGAAAATGATGTTTGGAACTATGCACTAATATCAGGATTATATGGCTTCTGTATATAACCAGGTGGTAGAGGATGTCCTTAAGAAAGTTTTTGAGATCAAGCGCGAAGAAGCCCTGCTGGTGGCGTAGACATAGATGCTCCGGTGTAAATAGATTATCTGCATAATGGGAACACGAATTAATTTCATTCGCAAGTTATTGCCGTTGTATCATTTAGTAGCTGAAAGGTTTGAAGGGTTGAATGCTGTAACTTGAGACCTCTGAGAGCTTACGATGTTAAAGTAGTTATAATGTAGAGGGCCCTCTGAAGCCCTGTGTACCGGACAGAAGGATGGTCTCTTCTTGACAATAACCAGAAATTTCTGAGTTGAAGCCAAGGGCTTGAGATCCTAAGAACCATTACTACAGACTATAATAATGATGATTAACGATTAAAGAGCAAATGCAGTTGCAAATTTTAAATTTTGGGTAATTTTACCAGTAAATCTCCATCAACCTTGAGTTGAGCAAACATGACATTCTCTCCAGGCAACCAAGTTGCTGGTGTTTGAGCACCAGGTTCTTTCCTTCCACGAATAAAGTTTATGCAGCAATTCATGAAAGAGATAGAACGACAAGATGTTACTTTGTCTTAGTAAATATGCTCAAACCTGGAAAAGATACACCAGGAACAGCTACGTTTCTTAAAGTGGGGGTCAATGACAAACTGTTGAAATCAAATGGCCTGCAAAATTTCGGACTACTAATGGAGTGCTCATGGCTCTGTTACAGTAACATCTAACTGAGCTTGTTGTTCTTTGGGTACTCTCTTAAGCAATTTGTACATTCCAAACACATTCTTCTCCTGCCAAAGAAATGGGATGAAGAACGAACGGTAAAATGGAGGAGACAACTCCCTGTCGAGGTATGGCAATGCTGCAATTGGCTGAAAAATGATAGAAATGAGCTTTTTAGTATCTTATTGAGACATACGGATGGGAAGAAGAGAGCTTAAATTTGTAAACATGCAGGCGTAGTACCTCCCATTTCGACAGGTCACTTCCACGAGAAGGATAAGGGCGATTGAGCTGCAGCTCTACCAAGAAAGTGCAGGCATCGATATCATTGAGCTGCACAAATTTGAAGTTGGTTATTCCGCCAGTCAGGTGACTACTGAGAAAATGGAGCTAAAGAGTGTGAAGCGAGGGGGGAAATGAATTACATATTGCTGAGCTGATGCCTTGTTCTTATTGTTGAAATATGAAGGAGCTGCTGATGTGCCACCGAGAGATGAGTTGAATGGTAAGGGAAGAAGACCTCGGAAGCCATCATCAATCCATCGGACTTCTCCCACATAATCAGGCACAAAAAATGATGAAGGGAAGCGATGCCATTCACTTCCGACACAGAGAACAGCTCCTATAATGCACACAACCACCACCCAGAATAAGTGGTAGAGAAAAGAAGTTCACCAAGGACATCCATGCAATTGGAAATCCACACACGGGCTTCAAAAACACACCCCTAAGACAGAGTTTTGCGGAATTCAGCCCTAACATTTGTCTACTTTTCATCTTAACTTTCCAGAATACCCTACACCTAACATCATTTATCTGACGTGGGTGTAAAGAAGTCGCAATACAAATAGTAAAATCTCACACTCAGACATGAAAATTCTGAAACCCACAAATGACATACTCCATTGCTTTTCAAATCCTTGGATTTGACATAATCCTTCGTTTATCAAATCCTACATCCAGACGAACCCTAAGATATGGCCTCCAATAAACTAAATGCTATTGAGGCCTACCTTTTGCAAACCAAAACAAGTAGATAACTCCCGCGAGGAAAAAAGACACTTTTTTACCTGATCCTGCCTCATGATAGTGATCTAAAACCTTGTAGACCTCCATTGGAGCAGCATATCCATTAATCAAGGAAAATGTCCGAGCATGTGAAGCACATAGTATGAGACTAAGAACCAGTGGTCTAATAACTTTGGCTATCTGCAAAAGCAAAAAGAAAAAGTCCGGATAAAACTGTTAAAACAGAGCGCCCATAGTTGTCATATGGCCTCAAAGCTACAGAAGAAAAGATGAGTACATACCACAACTATAATAGAATTGTCATTAGGATTGTGCTTATCTCTAACAAGATCAGGAAAGCTCTCGATAACACTTGACGCAGCAACACAAACAAGAGGATAGACCGGATAGAGGAACCTGTAAGTAGCAAGATCAACATATCTAAGCAGTATTGATGGAGTTTTTCACCCATATACAACTTAACAATCAGCAAGCAAACATAGGAAGGAGAGGCGAAGCTCGTCAATAAATTCCAAAAGGAGGAACACAGACAAGGTTAAAACTAACCTTTCTTCTTTGTGTGGCTGTAAAGACATAAAACCGAGCCATATATAAAGAGGCGAGACCACTACCAGAAGATCGGGAGTATATTTTCTCCTTACAATTGGCAAAATAACCAGGAAGAGCAAAGCAAGAACCATAGAAACGTTGAAATTGTTAAATCCATTCCTAAGGTAAAAGAGAGGTCCTTCAGTCCCATACAAATGGCTCTCACCACCTCCTACAACATTGTATACCAAGATATTCAAAACAGACGATGTCCACCTCCCATAGTAGCGGTAGTCAACAAGTACAGAAAGTACCTAGAGAAGGATTAAAACCTTTCAATTGTTCAGAACATGAATGATAATAAGCGTAATTATCTCAAAACAACTATTTTACTAGTGTTTAGTTGCCATGACTCAATAAAAAGGCCACAGCCATTGACTTACAACAAGTACGAGAGACGTGACAGCACCAGCAAAAAATGACAGCTTGAATCTCTTGGCCAAGGAAAAAAGCACAAGTGGTAGGAAAGCCAATATTGAGAAGGGCCAGCCAAGGAGTACACCAATAGCTGCAACAGCAACAGCCATGGCAGGCTTCTCAAGAAGAAACAATCCCGAGGAGAGACTCATGGCATACATTGAAAAAGAACTCGGCAGGAAACCTGGTAAGAAATGAGAACAACAATTACCCATTGTAATTCTGAAATGGGACCACTAAATGTTAACCTGGTGGAATCAAACTACTAAACCATAAAAAGTCCCCAAAATGGCTGTCTAGACTAAGATCCAAAATTTTCTGCTCGCCACTAAATCAAAGCAACTTACTTGTGCTAGCAAAGAAACAACCACTGGTTAGGCACAGCATGGCAAGCGCATAAGAAGCAAGACGCTTGCCATATCTCCTGGAAAGGGCCACTACTAGAGTGGCGTCAGCTATAACAGAGATAACTCCAATAAACAGCCGTACTGCATAGAACACTCTCATCTGCGAGACATATATAGTACTGTTTTAGATTTCAGACGAACAAATATGCAATGGGTGCGAAGCAAGATTCAACAGAACAGAAAAAGGTTCTTACTTTATCATCTCTAAACAGCCATGAAGCTGGCAGACCCACTAGTTCATGGAAATTAATGTACAAGTAGGATCGAAGAGCAAACTGCGAGCTGCAGCACAACATCATACAACATCCATTAGAGCACAGACAATACTAAGATTGATCAGTGACCCAGAAAACATAATGATCCAGAATAGAAAACTCCATCAGTGGGTAATGCGAGTTAAGAGTTTATTTTTGCTTTGCCTGTATTCCCAAGTCTGGAAGCCGGACTTGTAGAGAAGAAAATGGAGAGGCTCCCAGTAGTTGAAAACCTCGTCGCAGTCATGGATGATGTTGGATGTGGCGCTCATGTAACGCAGCAGTCCCAGAGCGAGTATGGGCATAAACCATCCAAGCGGCTTCTCTTCACCAACGAGAGATGATCTCTCTGGTTTGTTGACCTTCGTGTACGGCTCCGAGGAGGAGGAAGATGATTGCGGAGGCCGCGATGTCTCCGCCGACGGAAGCTCCGGACGTCTCTGCCGCGTCGATAGGGCCATTGGGTTTAGTACTGGACCACTGCGTTTTGCGTCAATCGGAGAAATGGTGTGTTACTGTGTTAGTTCCTTCGCTTCCTGCTTGTACGTTTTCCAGCTCCGGCCTTTCGACAAAATTAGGGCGCGACATTGATATTCCTTCCTTCCGGTCGAAGGCAGAGTCTTCTTTTTGTGGCAAATTTCGTAAAGACTATCGAAGTTTAAGGTTAGTCAAGGCAAGGGTGCTTAAACTTACATTTTATTAACACAATGGTCACCGAAGTTTCATTTTTAGTAACTTATCGCTAAGATTTGACGTGAGTGTATCGTGATGGTGAGTCATATCCTAATGATAACATTGGTTCAGCCGGACAATGTCAATGTCAAACATTTAATTAACTGAAAGCATACGAGCGCCTCGCGTTTTAGATTTTATAATTTGTATTTCTTGTTCGTCAATTAATTCACTACATGATAACTGATAAGTAGTCATGTGGTGTTGTATGTGTCGTACAAATACAATGATTAGTAGGTCAAATCTTGTAGAGTATATATCAATGTAATCAGGACCATGGAGAGTGTTAGGTAGTGGATAGCAAGTTATGCAACAAACTCATCAGCTAGTAAAAACTTCATTTGTCATTCTGTTGATACAGATTCTCACATTTGATTTGAGCGTTGAAGGATCTGACTAATAAATAATGTTGTGCCCCTAAGTTTGATCGTTCTACATTTAATCACATTCCAAACAAGTTTATTTAACATTCGATCATTTTTTCCCCAATTTTCTAATTTGTAATCCGATCTATCTTATAAGCTGACAAACTCATAATTTAATGAACTCAACCCAATCTAAACCATAATCCAATTTCCCGCAACTCAATCAACTTATAACTATAATCTAATAAGTAAATCAAACCTCACTCAAACGAATAACTAAACAAAATTTAAAATAACAACGATACGTGAATAATTCTAACATGTATTGACATACTATTCCATCACCTTGTATAAATACAAAATTACATTTTCTTTTTGCACTATGAACAACCCTTCGAGTTGAATATTGATCCATACATTTCTTCCAGATTTTCCCAATCATCAAATCATCAGTAAAGAAAACCAAAACTGTGTGCAATTGAGGTCAAAATTTGAGCCAACTCTTTTAATTAGAGTTTCTTCCTTCCATCACAACTCCACTTATTGGTTCTAACATAATCTCCTCCTGCCGTGGCTGCTCAGAATTCCCTCCCCAGTTGTTAACCCTATCTTCAGCATCTGCCGCCTGCATTGTCAAAATCAGGACAAAAAACAATACCGTAAGACACAAGTAAGAAAGCAAGCAAGTAAGTAACCAAGCTTTGCGCCATTAACGATAGAAAATGGACTCACTTCTTTTTGCCAGTTAGTCTTGTAGATGATGTAAACAAGAGATCCAATCTGAAGCACAATCCCAACCAACATTCCGGTCCAGATTCCTTTCACTCCGTACTCGAACTTGTAGCCAAGCAGAGCCCCGATCGGTAGCCCGAACACATAGTAACACACAATGTTTATCAGTGCAACCTGGAACTGCCATCCTGCCCCAACCGCTACCCCTGCAATCAAATTCGACACGCGAAAACATTAGGATCGACATCGCGTATTAAGGCAAAGACAGACGCGGAGAGCTAGCAGGCGTATTGAGGGGTGGGGGGAAGTTAAAAAAAAAGGTTACCGTGGAGTACTGGCAGGATGCTGTCCAGGAAGATAGTGGCTGCCAAGAAGTAACCAAGCTTGGACGCCTCGTGGATCACCTCCGGCTTCGAAGTGAATAGCTTCGGGAACTCGTTCTTCGTAGCTAGAACTGCTGCGGCGAAGATCAGTCCTAGGATTGTTGAAGTTGTGACAGTCACCATTACTGAGAATTTCGCAGCTTTGTGGTTGCCTGCTCCTAATTCGTTCGACACTCGCACGCTGTGCAGAAAGATTCGGAGTTAGTAACTTGTACAAGTTCATTGATTTGTGTGATCACTTATCAACAAAAGGGGCAAACAGCACTGACCTTACTGCTGCATTGAATCCCAAAGCGACCATCAATGTCCACAGCTGAATGTTCATGCTGCAAAAAATGCCAACAAAATGTCACATTTCAATGATCAAGCTTTTGACAAATGGAGTCAGAATTCGAGTTTCTCTACATAGAGAACTCAAATTTCTTACCAGATGGAAATGGCATCTACAGCAATTTCCGGGTTCTTCAACCATCCAACCATCAGAATCACCACCGTGGTATACCACAGCTCCAAGCTGATTTCAAAAAAGAATCTCACCATTAACAAACTCCAAAAACTCTGAAAACAGAACTAATCAAAACCCTAAATCCCCAATTCCTTCTTACCACAACATAATCGCAGAGGCAAGCGAGAGCTTCACAAACCCACCAAGCGACTTGAACGCCTTCATCGAAAACCCAGTCCAAGCTTCAGGAAAATAACCAGAGACCACATAAATCATCTGACCCAAAACCACCAGCAGCCAAGACACATCCGCCACCACAGCAGCACCAACGACGCCATAACCAAGCTTGGCGACGAAAATCCAGTTGAGAAGCGCGTGGATTCCCAGCACCACGGTCGAAATCGAAGTCAAGACCCACACTTTGCTCTGGGCTTGAAGAAACTTCTGCAGCGGGAAATTGAGCGCGTACAGGAACAATTGAGGCACGACCCAGATGGCGAATTTCCCCGCCAGCTCCGAAATTCGCTTGTCCTGGTGAAGCAGCTTCAAAATTGGGGTAGCTAGAATGTAGACCGGCGCCAGGCAGAGCGCTGTGACCATACAGATTATCCATGACCTCTGCATATAGATTCCTAGCATGTGGGTTTGCCCTGCTCCCACTGCTTGCCCGCATAGCGTCTCGAGGGCGCTTCCCATTCCCAACTGCAAACCCAATCAAAATAAATCAGTCATTTTAGTTCAAAGACCTAAGCTTTATTTCTTTTCAAAACAGGGGAGAAACAGAGGAACAGACCATGAATCCGAAGACGAAAGTCTCGAGGACGTTCTGGACAATGGAGACGGCGGCGAGCTGGAGGGAACCCAGGTGGCCGACGAAAGCGGCGGTGACGAAGCTGATTGAGAATTGAGAAACCTCGGTGATTAGAGCTGGAGCTGCAATTTCCCACATGTTTTTCGACTCTGCCCACCAAGTCGGCGCCATGGTTTTGGGGTTGGGAGAAAGGGGCGCCGACGCTCCGGCTGCAGGGTGTTCTATCTCCATTGTCGTTACCACCGCCAGAGAAGGAGAAGAAGGAGAAGAAGGAGGAGAAGAAGCTGCCGCCGATTGTGGAGGTGGAGTCGTCGTCTTATTGTGGGAGTTTTGATGAATTGAATCTCCCGACATGGCGAGGAGTAAGTTAACAACCACTACTCTGTAAATGCGACTTCTGTCTCAGCTGGCATATTCTCTTTCTGCCAGTGCCAGAGATTTGCTGAATTTATTAATGTGTAGTAAAACAGGGGAAAGGGGAGCTGACCAGTGGAAGTCTCTATAATTGAGATTTAAATTATTGAATATGACCTTAGAGCAAAGTATTTGATTATTAGAATATATTTGAACCACGAGCAACATGGAGGCTGCTTACTGTTGAATTGCTAGTTGACAGAAGAAGCGGGGTTTGGTAAAGGGTAATAAAGGTTAGGTTTTTTTTGGGTTAGGTGAAATGGATTATGGATGTTTGATTAAGAAAAAAAACAGAGAGAGGGAGGAAGAGGGAAGGAGAAAGGCAAGATCAACTTCTCCTTCTTGTATTTGCCTTTGCCATTTATTCCCGTTTCCACTGTAATGCACGAATACGTCTGAACTCTTGAATAGAATATTGGCGATGCGGAGAAAAGGGTTGATGTCGGAAAGGGGGAAAAGGACGAGGGTTTATCTAATCTTGTTGACTTTCTATTGAGTGGGCGGTTCTTGACTTCTGGTGCTGTTTTTAAGCATGTGTGGTAATCGGAATTTGGGCCGGCTCTGGCGGATCTCAGATGGGCTCAGGTTGTTGTAATGATATTGCCCAGGCCCATGGTAAGGTGTTTGGCTGGATTCTGGTCTCCTCTTCTTTTTATGCATTTAACAGGCTTTCCCCATTAACGGGAGTCTTTTGGCACACAATGTCGTTTGCTTCATAAATTTAAAAATGAGAGTTTTGTAATTTAAAAACCCAAGGATTTGAGGCATCATGGATTTGTAACAATCCTTTGTTTGTAGGGATGTTTTTGTCATGAATTTAAAGGTGTGGGATTTACTACTTGAAGTCAAAAATTACATTACTGCCCTTTTCTATATGTTTGACATGTTTATGATATGTACACAAAACAAGGACAAAACTTCAAAATTACCTTACTATCATTTTCTATATGTTTGACATGTTTATGATATGTACACAAAACAAGGACAATACATACTAATAAGCATAATGTTGCCACATGGACAATAATAATAAACGAGAAAATTCCGTTTTAACTTTTAACGTAACATAATCAATTGCCAATTCTTTGTCCTCCTTTTCAAAAGTGACATATAACAACATATATTAGAAGCGGGAGAACAAAGAATTACACGTTTCATGAAAAGGTCAAAGAAAACTAGAACACAAGAAATGATATAAAAAATCTAACTCATGTTTGCACATTAATTGAACGTTTATATTATTCATTTATTGTTAATTATAATGTATAATAGTTAAATTTGAGGGCAACCTTGGAATATTAAAAGTACATGAGGGTATATGGGTAAAATCTCATCAAGGATTTATGCCATATTCCAAATCTCACATCAACATGTGGGATTTACAAGTCCGTGGGGTCCACGGGTTTGAACCCTTAAAATCCGTGGGCCCCACGGATTTGGTCTCCAAAAAAGGTGCAAGCAAACAACGGATTGTACCTAAATCCTTGATAGTTGGTTTTTTGGTACCAAATCCATGAAGCAAACGACCCCTTAAATATTAATAATCACGCGCGGGTTCATATTCGACTTTTTTGGGCTTGACAAAGAATCGAGGCAGGTGATTATGCGTCTCACCCGAAACAAAATTCAAAAGGTCAATTCGTCAGTTAAAATGAAAATAAATTATTTTTGACTGATTGAAATCATCTTTATTGAAGGCAAATATGCAATTAAGCATAAACCACATGTAATTAGGTAACCTGATCATTATTTTCCTTCTAATAAGTAATTACTACTAATCCTTAATGTTATCCCCTCCGCTCATTTATTAATAGCAAACTCCAGCATCCGCTACAAAATGGAAACCGCGCTGATCAGAAAACCAAAACAGAAACTCCATATAATCATTCACCTCTCTGGAAATCAAAGCAAATCCAAAACGAGGGAACCAAATTACGCAGAGAGAAACACACAAACCAACCAATTAAAAAATGGGGGTGGTGCTAATCGACGGGAACACGGTCCGCGACTTCGTGGCGAGCGAGGACCACTTCAACCGGAGCGTGGAGGAGACCTTCGCCCTCCTCGACGTCGACAAGGACGGCGTCCTGTCCCGGTCGGAGCTCCGCCGCGCGTTCGAGAACCTCCGCCTGCTCGACGCCGACTTCGGGGTCGACACGCCGACCAAGCCCGACGAGGTGACGAAGCTCCACAATTCGATCTTCGACAAGTTCGACGGCGACCACAACGGGACGGTGGACCTGGAGGAGTACCGGTCGGAGGTGCGGACGATCCTGCTCGCCATCGCCGACGGGCTGGGGTCCAGCCCGATTCAGATGGCGCTGGAGGATCACGATCACCAGAGCTTCCTCAGGCGAGCTGCCGAGCTCGAAGCCTCCAAACTCGCCAATGTCAATCCTTAGGATGATTTTTTTTTTACTTCTGTTCGATCGTTTGCACCTCTTTTGATTTGCATTGCAATCAATTTCTGATGACCTAAACTTTTTTGTATAGTTTAATTCATTGTGTTCTATGATATTATGTGGTAATTTAAATGGAACTTGTGGCATTCGTATCAATACTTTGATTTCTGCAATGAATCGACTCTTTCAATCGCTTAGACAATCAATATCCCTTTCGCGCTTTTGTGCATCCTTAAATTTTTTTTTTATTGAATTGGTATGTGAAATGACATACCAATTCGTATCTCGTGTATGAAAGGGGAGAAAATACGTATTAGCGTGAGTTTCCTCGATGCTTGCCATCGCCGCGATTCATCCTCCTCCTTAACAACCTCAGTATCACCTTTGTGATATAGAGTCCCCTACCACCTCATTTCGTGGAGATTAATTTTGATGTTGGTTGTCAATAGGAATGCTCTTTGTTCATCTGGTTTGGTTGTACGTGACTCGATTCGTCAAAATTCATTGTAATCCGTAGTGACATCTTTCTTGCGGTAAATCATCATTTTCACGGCGCGTGATAAAAATTGATGTCTTCTACTGAACATTGTGTATAATATGGAGCATTTTCTCGAGTCGCTAATTGAATTGTTTATAAAATGGTACACAAAATTCTAATAATGTCTCTGGTAGAGTTAGTATCTTTTAATTTTGTAGCTTGGGTTGGCCTAGTTTTGGTTGGGGTTAATTGCACCAGATACCACGTAATTATTGGTTTCGTTACATACTAACCACTTACATTTTTTTAGTTGCAACTAAACCATATAAGTCGACTTCCGGTTGCATCGTTATATTTTTCATTCTTAATCTGAACGGAAAGTTTCAAATTGAAAATTTCCGCATCAATTTAGACAATTACATTTTTCCTCATATTCTTTCATCTTCATTTCGGTATTACCAGCGTTCTCTTTAACTATCTTATGCCCTCCTTAATTGTTTTTGTCAAAATTTACAATTGTTTCTTTTTTTATATTAATTTTTAGGTCTAATTGAATTAAACTTTGGCTTCATTCCAAATAAAATAAACTTTTTAAACTTATATGGAATGTGAAATGCAATCCATTTTCTATTTTTTTCCATCTATAATATGTTTTGCATAATGTGCACCTCAATATAGGCTTTTCTTTTGGGAAAAAGTTTTTTAAGGAGCCACTCTTATAGATTGTTTAAATTCATCTATTATAAATGAATTTGTTGTTTCAATGAATATTTGAGCTGAACGAAGTTAGAAGTTATAATAGAAAGAGTCTTTCTTGAGATGAGTTCTGCACACCTGAACTTCAGGTGACAGTTACATAAAAACTAAAAGAAGCATATTGAGATTAAATACAAGGGGATGCTTTAAAGTTTAAACTGAATGACTAAAAAAGAATTAAGAAATGGTCTTATGCAGTATAATCAAGCAAAAAAAAAGTAATGAGGGAAATTCTGTTGAAGTTTTATCATAGCTTTGTTATTAGTGTTCTACTAAAGAAAGACTTACATAGCGAAACTCAGTTTTCCGACAGAAGTTTGCAGTAGAAATCCCCATCTACAACTCTATAAATAATTTATCATTTGGATCGACAACCACAGAGCAAGATAAGAAATTCAAAGGGCTATTGTGATCGGGTTTATTTAATCCTCCATTTTTTTAAAAAAAATATTTAGTTTGTGGAGACTGGAGAGAAAGAAAGTCAAAGAAAAATGGTGTGGTGTAAATTAAGGTGGAAAACTTCAATTTGATACCCACCGTTAAGTTTAAGAATGAAAAATATAACGAACTAATGGTGCAATTGGAAGTCGACTTATATGGTTTAGTTGCAACTAAAAAACCTTAAATTGTTAATAGGGCAAATACAATATAATATCCATAACTATTATGTATGGGGGATTTATATACGCAACTATCAATATACAAAGTATTATCCAAAATTACTCTTTCGCGTAATTAAATGGATAGAACCCCGTTATCGTGAGTTTAATTGTAACGGTGCCGGACACGTCAGCCGCCTCGTAGGATTCCACGTAGGATTTCAATTAAGTACTAATTTTATTAACTTTCTTACCCCTTTTCATTTCAAATGTTCCCCCAAAATCCTAGGGTTGGCTCCCGACAGAGACGAAGTGAGGAAAGGTCGCCGCCACCGTCGTCGCGACCTTCACCACCGTCGCTTCCCGCCGTCGCGACCTTTACCGTCGTCGCTTCCCACTGTCTCGACTTTCACCGTCGTCGCTTCCCACCATCGCGACCTTAACCGCAGTCGCTTCTCCCCCGTTTCACAGCTTGTTCGATTGAGGAACCCTCCTAGTCCAGGGAAGAAGACTGGTTCGATCGAGGAACCATTTTTCTTCAAATCGCGAGGGTAAGTTCTTCTATTAACCCTGCCCCTGTCTACCTCTTTCCATCGCCAACTGGTTGGAATTAGGAAAAGGTTGTGCTAAAACCCCAGTTTGATACACGAATGGAATGTTTCTTTTCAGTAGGAAGAATAATGTCTGCATTGGAGGGATCTTCTGGTTCAGCCAACACAAATGACGTTGTCGGGCCGCTGTGCCATTGTAACAAACCCTGCATCGTGAACAAGTCTGGTACTAGTAGGAATCCAGGAAGGCAGTTTTATTGTTGTCAAAATTGGAAGGTAATTGTCTTTGTTGTGACGTTTGGGTTTGTTTACCTATGACCTTCATCTTAGTAATAGGTTTCTTTTCATTTGTAGACGAATGATTGTCGGTTCTTCCTATGGGTGGATAAGTATATGAGAAGGAATGGATCAGTGTGGTCTACACATGATGATGAGACAGTTGGTCTTAAGGCAAAACTTATGGAAGTGGAAGCAAGCAACAACAAGCTGTTAGAAGAGTTGAGTAGAATGAGAGAAAGTCATGCAAGGTTGGTTTCCGAGCTGAGCAGAATGAGCAACATTATCTCTAGCTTTGACACGAAGATAACAAGGTTGATGTACTGTCTAATTGGTGTCATAGTTTACGCTGCATTCTGTAGATTCCAGGGAGTTTGAGGTGTAGGAAAATGTAAGCCAACACTTATGTAATGTTCAATTCCATTCTAGTTTGAGCATTGTCGTGATGTGTGGAAAACAAGTAAACTTCAGTTTCAGTATTGTTTCGTACGATCTGAGCACTTCTATAACACCTTGTACCAAAACTAAATCCTTTCAAAAGAAGTTGACAGCATTACATCTGCACTATTTTGGACAAAATGAAGCGAGTCTGTACAGTATGCAAAATGTGGTGAACCAACTGGAATCACCTTACAAAGCTCGATTGAAATTGTTCCATAACGCTAGATACTTGCGTAGTGTTTGGGACAAGATGAATTGAGCTTGTACAAAATGCAAAATGTGGTGAACCAAACCGGAATCACCTTACAAGCTAAAATTGCAAACCTTCTGCCTATTAACATACTGTTCTACCATAGACAAAAGCTAAAACATAACAAAGAAACAGTCCACACACACGTCTTCAAGCGATATGTTGCGGTTGAGACTCAGTTTGAGTTGAAGGAGCTCCCCTTGTATCAATCTGAGTTGGCTGAGTTCCAACTCCCTCTGCAGAAGTACCAGCTCCATCTCCCAATCCAGTTGCAATTTTCTCATAGATGCAATCAACCCCTAGAGCCTGTCTAACTTCTCCATCCACCACCAAGTTCCTGTGAAGGTTCCCATTTCTTGATTTCTACATAAGGAAAACAAACTTAAGGGTCCAAAGTTCAGAATATCATGTAAATGAGTCAAGGATTATATGGCATATGAGAGTCTTACACGTGCTGGTGGGTTCAAATTCTCTGGACAACTCCTTGCATTATGTGTCGTTGACCGACATTTAGAGCAGTGCATAACCCTCTATGAATACCACACAAGACACCAATCAATCAAGTTTCTCAAAATATTCAAACTAGCACATGAACAAGTGGCATACCTTTTGACGGGTTGATCCTTCAACCTGCTACCATATACCTCTGCCTCGGGTTGATCCTCCAGCCTGCTGACCTCTACCTCTGCCGCGGGTTGATCCTCCAGCCTGCTGCCCTCGACCTCTGCCGCGGTTTGATCCTCCAGCCTGTTGCCCTCTACCCCTGCCGCGGTTTGATCCTCCAGTTTGTGGGTTGGGGCATTTTCTCACGTTGTGACCAGTACTCCCACAGTTTGAGCAATGCAACAACACTCCTTTTTTTGACATTCCTGTACCCGAAGGCCTCCCATCTTTGTGCAACCTTTTCTCAAGTTCACCTGCTTCCTTTCTCCTTTTCTTTTTTGGTCTCCCTGGCATCTTTTTTTTTGCTTTGGAGGGTATATTGGATACCCTTCAGCCCTAGGCCAGGCTTGCTGCCCCACAAGACATGGAATTCCTACTTTGTAAACTTTAGCAACAGTAGGTACAAAGTAGAAGGGATCCACGTAATCTTCCAAGTGCAGCCTCATTAGCCCAATAGCGGAGAGTACATGGCAACAAGGGAGACCACTTAGGTCCCAAGCACCACATGTACATGTACGATTCTTCAAATCGACAACAAACGCTGAATTCCCAAGTTTCACCTCTACCATGTGCTCGCTGCTAGCTAGAGAAACACACTTCCTTGCATCTTCATCCTTCTTCAGTATCTCACTCATAGGACGTGGGCAAATCAAATCATGCAGCCTGTCAAACTTCTTGTGCTTCTTCCTCATCATCACCATAATATGAGTTCTGATACCCTCTAACATCTCAATTATCCTATAATATGAGTTCTGATACCCCTCTGCCTCAGATCCCTCTTCCACGTCAGAATCATCTACATTAAAGATCTCCCTAGCAGCTGAACACTCTCCCACCACCTGTGCCTCAACAATGTTGTCTGCCTCCTCGTTGTCTCCCATGACTCCATCTCCCTTCTCAATTACCTCAGCATACACAGTAACCACCTTAGTATCGTCTAAATCAACAAACAGCCCCTCCATCACCTCCTTATCATATTTAACTTCATGCAGGCCATCAGACATCGTGGATCTCGGGGTCAAGTACCAAATCTTCCGGACGCCTTCATAGTGCAAGTGCACTGTAGTCAATGCCACAAGTCCAAAGTAGGACACTTGATCAACATCAACGGTGAATTTTTCTAAATCACCCCCCACATATCGTGGTTCATCACCGGAGAAGTCCATCTCGCCTCCGTGATGGTAGTCAATCCCCATGTATTCTGTCATTTGCATGGTCAAGTATTATACAGGTTGTTATATTGCTTGAAAACAAATAGACACAACAACAACCATAAAATATTATCGTTCACATGTGCTGGTTATCAAAAGATGGGGAAATTAGACCTCCAACCCACTGCAATTGACCATTCTATCCACCAATTCCAATTTCTTTCACATTGATACAAGGACAATTTCGTGAACAATTTGAAAAGGTCCCACTGTGGTCCTCACACCAACTTGCACGAACGTTTTCAAAGAAGCAAACTATAAATAGCGAGAATCGACACAATCCTAAGCCAACAGAATGGGTATTGTTCGAATTGGAGAATCGGTACTGAAAAGTGAAAACCTAATCTTTCAATACTGTAAGCTTTTGACGGAACAAACCAGAATCACCTTACCTTCGTCCCGGGAATCGTCCAGTCTGGCTTCGATCTGTCAACCCAAAGTCGTTGACCGCTCCGGAACGATTCGACGGAATCAGGCGATGGAAGTCTCGCGAATCGTCCAGTCTCCTCTGCTGCGTCGATTACACTTCCTCTGGCGCGGGAAAACTATGCGATTTCGTCGGATGAAGTGGGGGCGGATGAAGTGGGGGCGGGGGGACTCAGGCGGTGGCAGTCTCGCCGCCACGCCTGCAAGACGGTGAGTGGCTCGTCGGCGACTTCGGGTCGTCGCCGACGAAGGGGGAGATGGGATGGACAGATGAGAGAAGAAGGGGTTTAGGATAAGAATCGGGTGAGTGGATGTGAGAGGAGAGGAGGATATTTGCTTTATTTTTTAAGTTTTATGTTATTTATTATTATTATTTAATCAATTCCACCTGGGATGCCACGTTCTCCCTTCCACCTCAGCTTTTTTTGCCAGGTCAGCATTGCAGAAAGACATTCTAACGGGGTATTAACGGACAATTAACGATTGGATAACACTTTGTATATTGATAGTTGCGGATATAAATCCCGATACATAATAGTTATGGATATTATATTGTATTTGCCCTTGTTAATATGCAACAAAATCAATACTGGTATTGGGGGGTTTGTTCATGCACTTCATCCGGTTATTCGAACTAACCGGTATAAACCGGTTATTTTCTTATTTGCTTTGATCGGCCAATTAAACTAACCCGTTCGAATCAAAACCCTAATTGTTTTTCTGATGATGTCTTGTCCCTTCGACTCTTTCTTTCCTGCTCTGCCTTCCAATCCTTGATTCCGTCTTCCTGCCTGCGATTCCCCTCTCCGGCGACCGCCGCAGCTCTCCTCTCAGTCGTGCCGGCCTCCGCCTATCACCGCCGTCTCCTTGCTCGCCTCCTCCACTGCTTCTTTCAAGAGTAATTGGCTGCCCTCTCTTTCCCTAATTGTCGCTTGCGCTTTGTTTGGCGGAATGAAATGGGGTTTTTATTCTGGTAGTTGAGCAGCTCGATGTATATGTCCTTCTTCTGCATCCAGATTGGTTTCATTCGTCTCCTCCCTCATTCCGCCGCTCCCGTCTAGGGTTTTAGCTTCACTGCTGCTCCAGCTCACTCTCACTCATTCGCTGGGTTTACGTTTCAGGTCGCCCGGGGAATAGACCTTGCAGTTCCACCAGTGGGTCGCAGAGATGGCTGCAAGTTTCGTTTCCAAGTTCTCTCGCGGTAAGATACCTATTCGCCACTTGATCTAAGGGATCTTCTGTTTACCGAAATGGTGCTCTCTGATTCATTTTGCAGGGAACCCTTTGCTCTTTTGCTTAACTATCAATTAGATAAAGAATGATGAACAGTTGTAATGATATCATGATTTTCTTGGATTATTAGATAAATGGTGAAATGATTCCTTGCTAATGTAGTTGATGAAAATTGCAGTGGGGCGATCTCTGTTGGGGGGACTAAGCAACAACATTTCATCTGTAGCAGCCAGCAGCACATCACCTGAACTCACTTCCAGCAGCAATGCCCTGTACCAGGTTCGTTAAAGTTCTCTCCCTTTCGTCACATGTCAAGCCTTTTGATGTGTATACTGGTTCACTAGATGCTTGAAAATCTTTCTTATAGATTGTTTGGTTATGTTCTTCCTTGTGACTCTTGTCTCTTCCTGATGGAAGAACCATCTTCTTGGCTTTCTATTCTGCACCAGCAACATAGGACGTTCATTCAAATGAGGACGGTTCTCAAAGTTGCAGATAACTCGGGTGCCAAAAAGGTGATGTGTATACAAGCGCTGAAGGGGAGGAAAGGTGCGAGGCTGGGGGACACAATCGTGGCTTCGGTGAAAGAAGCAATGCCGAATGGCAAGGTGAAGAAAGGGAAGGTTGTGTATGGAGTTGTTGTGCGGGCTGCCATGCAGAAGGGGAGGTGTGATGGAAGCGAGGTCAAGTTCGACGACAATGCTGTGGTTTTGGTCGACAAGCAAGGTCAGCCTATCGGTACCAGAGTTTTTGGTCCTGTGCCCCACGAGCTCAGGCGGAAGAAGCACGTCAAGATCCTCACTCTTGCCGAGCATATTGCCTGACTTTTTAGTTGTTGTTTTAGGTGTTATAGATAGTTTGATGTTTCGCTTCCATGTATCTGTCGATGACTCTGTTTCTGGTTAATCGTTAAGCTGTTTACGGCAGAGCAGAACCATGCACTTTGTTTACATAAAATCGACGAGAACTTTCAGCTAGTGTAGTTTCCTCTACTTCCAGATCAATCGGAAAAGTTTATGGGTTTATGGTTCAAAGATAACTATTATAGAACTGCTAGTTAATTGTTGATGGAATTATTAATTCATTATAACCTAAATATACTAATTTAGGATTGAAGTTATCATTAACCATAAAATGTTTTATACTTTTATTAAATTCAAATTAGTAATGATAGTGACTGTCAATACTTAGTAGATCATGTAAAGCTGTGGGAGCGGATATGGTGACAACACCATATTTGTTGTTATTATAACAACACTAGTCTCCAACCAATAGGAAGTTAGGGTTGTGATGACTTTTTATTAGTTGGGTTGACCTAGTGTAAAATCAAAACAGGGGTATAATTGTCATTATGAAAAATATGTTTAAATAATAATAAAAAATAAAAAAACAAAAAATATTTTTTATTTTCGGCCCAAAATTTTTGGTGGACGGAATTCGGCCACCGGTCGCCGGAATCTGGTTGCGGTCACCGGAATATGCTTTTTTGCCGCCGGAATATGTTTTTTGTCATCGGAATATGCTCACAGTCGCCGGAATATGCTCATCGTGGTCGGAATATGATTACCAGCGTCGGAATCTAGTCATCGGGACTGGAATATGCCTATCGGCGCCGGAATCCGGTCACTGACGGTCATCGGAGTTTGGTCAACGGTCTTCGTTGACCGGTCAACAGCCAACGACCACCGGATGTTAAGTTCTCCATTGTGAGATTTATGGTTTGGTTTTCTCATATTTTTGTATGCCTTTTGTGGTTTGCTTTATTGTGTTTGTGGGTTGCATTAAGAAGTTTCTAGTTTGCTTTATCGTGTTTGTGGTTTGCATTGAGAAGTTTTTGGTTTGCTTTCAAAAATTTTGTGTTTTGCATTGAGAGGTTTGTGGTGTGTTTTAGGAGATTTGTGGTATACATTAGGAGGTTTCTGGTTTGTTTTTGTGGTTTGCTTTAACGTGTTTGTGGTTTGCATTATGAGGTTTCTAGTGTGTTTTTGAAAAATTCTGTGGTTTGCTTTGTGAGGTTTCTGGTTTGTTTTAATACATTTTTGGTCTGCATTAGGACGTTTCGGGTTTGTTTTTGTGGTTTTGCTTTACGGTGTTTATGGTTTGCGTTATGAGTTTTCTGGTGTGCTTTCAAAATATTTGTGGTTTGGTTTGTGGTGTTTCTGGTTTGTTTTAGGGAATTTGTGGCATGTATTGGGAGGTTTTTGGTATGCTTTTTTATGGTTTGTTTTACCGTGTTTGTAGTTTGTTTTATGAAGTTTCTGGTGTGCTTTGTGGTATTTTTGGTTTGTTTTAAGAGATATGGTTTGTATAATAAGGTTTTTGGTGTGATTTAAAAATATTTATGGCTCACTTTGTAGTGTTTCTGTTTTGCTTCACAAGACTTATGTTCTACATTAGGATGCTTCTGATACATCATAAAACAAAAAAATATGATAAACTTTGTTGATCGTAGTGATCAGGTATCAACCATTATATTGTCAAAAAGCTATCCATATATCCTTCACTTGTTATTACTATTACTCTTCTATAATTTTAATGCAATAAACAAGGTGGGAAAATGAAAAAAAAGAAAAGAAAAGAATTTGGCGATGACAACATTGGAGAATCCATCAGCGTGGAGGGAGAATTCATCCTCTTCTCCAGACCTTGGAAATCGACCCATCGAAGCAGGGGAAAGAAATCGTTCAGAGTAGTGGTCCCCTGAATGGAGGAGAATTCGCCGATCAGATCCCAAAACTCCTCCGCCTCTTTATCCACCACATCCGATTCGCAGTACACAAAGTACCGCTTCCCGGCGACCAACCGAAGCATGGTGTTGAAGGCGAACCCTCTGAATTTCGAGCTCAGATTCACCCCTCGTTTGTCTCCGGACTCTGCCTCTCTTGAGAGTTCGGTCAACATCAACCCGGCCTCCGCTCGAGCCGCCATGAACCTGTAAATAATTCGAACAATTCATCGGAACTTTTCCCCAATTCCTCCTCCCCGTCCGGCGAAAGGTAGAGAAAGAACGAAGGATTGAACATTTACCAGAAATGATTCGCCAGGGGAGAGCCGGGTGGTCATGAAAATCGTTGACCAGACAGTACACGCGACCTCAGGGTAAAGCGGCGTCGTCGGTCAAAGAGATGCCCTCCGGTATGGGGAAAACGTGCGCCGCCGGAACCGCCACTTTCTCCGCGTAGCCTCCGCCAACAGCAGCAGGATCCTTTGGCATCCCTACAGCAAGACGCGACTCTCCGCTACTCTGCCTCTGGTGCGTTGTCGTCGAGCTGCTCTAAGCCCGCCGCCTCGAGCTACTGAGCGGTGGTCAGGACGACACGGCGGCGGCGAGAACAACAACGTCGTCGTTGGTGGATTTGAATAAGTGATTCTCGACTTGAGCCTCAACGTTGTCCTATGGATGGTTGCCGGGAAGTGGCACTTCGAATCCGAGACTATGGACGGTGAGGAGGACGGGAGAGCCACCGTGCGGCAGATTCAGAAAAGTCGTCGGGGAGTTTTACAATTATCTAGATATGGACGGAATAAGGGGATGAGAAAATTGATTTTTGGTTTCAATTTATTTTACTGTATTTTGTTGATTTTACTGTTTTACCCCTGTTATTACTATAACAACACTTAAGGTGTTGTTATATCCGCTCTCTAAAGCTGTTAAGCTGACAAGAAGGCGGGGGGAAAAGGAGGACGAGGAAGCATTAGTCTATACTATATACTTAGGTGTCCGAGCAATTGGACCAAAGCTATCAAATCAGAATGGTTCATTTTATTTGGATTTTTTCAGAGTTTATGTGTTAAAAGTTGTTTTCTTGATTTTTTGTGGTAAAAGTTAGTGGACTAGTATATAAGTGAAATCTTTTATGCAACGGTTAAAATCATTATGTCTATATCTAGTCGTTCAAGTAAATAGACCGATCACTATTATTATTGGTTTGTGGTTCTACTGGTCCAGCCGTAAATCGGTTCAATTCATGTAATATGTGTATTTTCTAGGTCGGTTGTCCTTCAACCATCGCCGTTGAAGAAACGTACCGGCCAACCGTACTGAAAGCCTGAATTGCAGAGCGGCACAAGAGCAAAGAACATACGGGGAGGGCAATATGAGGACCATTGGCAATCCCCGAAGTGCGCTATCGCTGAGTTTGTCGATGCCACTCCGCTCTTTCTTCGACTCACAAGAGCCAACCGCTTCTGGTCCTTTTCACTCGCAGGTAAACCCTCTTCTTCTGAAATGGGTTTTCCCCTCCGCCATTTTTTTTCATACGTTTTCCTCGTCAGCCGAGCACGAAGGTTAAGCTCATTGTTTTTCCTGCGTGTTGTCCTGATTGATGTGCTACCGCCCAAGTCTAGGCGTTGCTCCACTGTGTGCATCAGTAGCGATCCTCCTCAGGTGGATAACAATGTTGGCGAGGGTGAAGGAGGGGCCGGTCATGGTGTTAATCGCAGAACCTCGAACAAGACAAAGAAGGCGAAATCCATGGCGCGGATTATTAGTTCCAAACCCTGGTCAGCTGAGGTCGAGACCCTCTCTCTCCACCATATCTTCATCAATCTCCAAGACCACAGTGATGGAAGTTCTCCGTCTCGTGAAAAACCCATCAAATGCCCTGGAATTCTTCAACTGGGTTCCCAAAATGGGGTTCACCCACGACCAAGACTGTTACTTCTCGATGCTGGAAATCTTGGGTCGCGCTGGAAAACTCAATGCTGCTCGTAACTTCCTCTCCTCCATTGAGAAAAAGTCTAAGGCGCTGTGAGGCTTCATGACCGGTTCTTCAATAGCTTGATTCGGAGCTACGGTGATGCAGGGTTGTTTAATGAGTCTCTAAAGGTTTTCGCTTTGATGAAATCGCTAGGCGTGTCTCCATCTGTGAGAACTTTCAATAGTCTTTTCTTGGTCTTGCTTAAACGAGGAAAGACCAATATGGTCAAGAGCATGTTTGATGATATGCTACACACTTATGGTGTTTTTCCTGATACGTATACTTTTAACATTCTGATTAGAGGGTTCTGTAAGAATACCTTGGTTGATGAGGGATTTAGGTTCTACAATCAGATGGTGGAATCAAAATGTGATCCTGATGTTGTTACCTATAACACGCTTATGGATGGGTTGTGTAGAGTAGGCAAGGTACAGACCGCACATAATGTGATGAAGGGGATGAATAAGAAAGGTAGGGATGTGAAACCTGATGTTGTTACTTATACAACTTTGGTAAGAGGTTATTGCATGAAACTGGAGATCGATGAGGCTATGGCGGTTTTCGAGGAGATGGTTGAGAGGGGGTTGAAACCAAATGATATTACTTTTAACACACTAATTAAGGGGCTCTGTGAGGCGCAGAAGTTTGACAAGATCAAAGAGGTTCTCGAGGGTGCCTTAGGTGGTGGAGGTTTTACTCCTGATACTTGTACTTATAATACACTATTGTATACACATTGCAATGCGGGGAATCTTGACGATGCATTGAATGTGTTTGAGAAGATGATGGAATTAAAAGCTCAACCTGATTCTGCTACGTATAGTGTTCTGATCAGAAACTTATGCAAGAAGAAGGATTTTGAGAGAGCAGAGAAACTTTTTGATAAGCTTTTCGAAAAGAAGATTCTAGTGAATGACAATGGCTGTACTCCTCTTGTTGCAGCTTATAGCCCAATTTTTGAGTTCTTGTGTAAAAGTGGCAAGACTTACAAGGCGGATAGAGTGTTCAGGCAGCTGATGAGGAGGGGAACACAAGATCCTTCTTGTTACAAGACTTTGATCATGGGGCACTGCAGGGAAGGTGAATTTGAAGCTGGTTATGAACTTCTGGTGTTGATGCTAAGAAGAGGCTTCCTCCCTGAATTCGAAACTTATCAGTCATTAATTGATGGCTTCTTGCAGAAAGGGGAACCCGTTCTGGCTCAGCAGACACTAGAAATGATGTTAAAGAGCAGTTACCTACCTACAGCAGCTACTTGTCACTCTATACTAGCACTACTACTGGAAAAGGGGTGTACTCATGAATCAGCTAGGTTTATTAAACTGATGCTGACGAGGAAGATTAGGCAAAATATACAACTTTCTACGGAAACTGTGAGGTTACTGTTTAGCAGGGGACAGAGAGATAATGCATATCAGATTACTGATCTACTCAATGAAAACGGTTACATAATCGACATGGAGAAAGTGATAAGTTTTCTTTGCAGAAGTGCAAAGCTGTTGGAGGCACAACAGATGATGCTATTTTGGTTGGATAAGGCTGGTAAGCATCACTTGATTGACGTTAGCACTTGCAACGCCATCATTGAGGGTCTCTGCAAGAAGAAGAGGCTTTCTGAGGCATTTCAGTTGTTTGTAGCTTTGGTGGAGAAAAACAAACATAGAGAGCTGATCTGTGCAGAAGAATTAGCTGCTGCTTTAGGTGCCAAGGGACAAGTAGAAGAAGCTAGCTTCATAAATAAGAGGATGCAAAACCAGTGGGAGTCGGTTAAATTTCAAACACCTCTGGAAGTTGCTGAGACATGAGACTCGCAGCGGCGACTGAGAATACAGGAGACTTGCATCAGCGACTGAGAATGCAGGAGACTCGCAGCGACGAGACATGGGTGGCTGCCAGAGAGGGGAGTCGCAGTCAGGCAGCTGGAATCAAGATCATCGGGAACAGGAAGACAGATCAGAATTATTACTGGACATCAGTTGCCCTCACTAGTCAGACTTTGACAGGTACAAGAACCAAGTTTTAACTTGCTTACTTTTACCCTGGTTGATTGCGGGGCAGGCTACATGACATGACATGACTACTTGTACAAGTGCTTCTGTATTATGTTTACGTTGAACTCAATCTAGAAAAGACAGCTGTATATATCATAGCTGATTATCCTCACTTGGTATTTATGAGTTATGATCGAGGTTCAGTGACATTCCTGAAACTCTCGCGGCGGTTGAGTCATGTAAACTTCTTCACCGAGTTCGTTGTTTCTGTGTTTTGATTCTACTGCTTGATAAAATAAACTCGCTTGCACCAGACAACATTGTGATCAGCAAGTCACACCAGAATTTAAATACCATCGAGACTAACTACTGAAAGTAATCACGTATCAACTGTTCGAAATAACTGACTATCCCGAGGATGATCCCCCCTTGAACACTCATAATTCTGTGAAGTGAAGCTCGTTGGAAGCGAATTGCTCTAGAACATTTTCATTACATAGAATCTGGAGCTCAAATCTCCAGTTTTTTTCAAGACGAGAGAGCGAACAAGCAAAGAAAACAGTATAAGAAAATTGAATTTCTCAATACTTGGTATCAATTTGTAAGAATTGAATTAGACAAGAGCAAGCAACTCCAGGCTCTATACAATTTAGCGACGAAAAAGCAAACAATAAAATAGCTCGAGTGCGTGTAGTAAAAATAGCCACAACGGTCATGAAATTTATTCCCGTCATAAAATGAAGAGCAACGTAAAGCAAAGGTTTCTTCTTCGGGTTTGAACTTGAAGCAAAAATTGAACTGCTTTTTCTCATGTCTTCAAAGGTGGTCGCAAATGGCCCTTGTGAAATCAGATGTTGTAGAGCTGCCGCCGAGATCTGCTGTTCGGTACTTTCCTTCGGCGATGGTTTCAAGAACGGCCTTCTGAATCCTATCTGCCTTATCGTGGAGTTCCAGATGCCGCAACATGGAGACACCACTCAGGAGCAGAGCAGTTGGATTTGCGAGGTTCTGCAAAAATTTCCAAGCGCCGAAAGTGTTACGACAACAAGCATATAGGAAAGTTAAGATTTAACCACAACAGAAACTAGCATGAATACCAGTGGTTCATCCATAACAACCAAATACTACGAGGTTCAAACATCTTTCACGTTGCTCTGTCCCCGAGGACTTTGGTTAAGTTCTGATACTCATCTTTAAGATTTACTAAACACATGCGAGAATATTAGTAATGGTCTAATGGAGCTAACCTTCCCAGCAATGTCAGGGGCAGAACCATGGACAGCCTCAGCAAGAGCTATTCCTCCCTCACCAATATTGCAGCTGTCACAAAAGGAAGTTAGAATTGCAGTCAGATCACATGCTTAACATGATAAACAGAAAAAAGTACAAGGGGAAAAGAGGGGGAAAAAAGGATTATTCTAAAGGGTACAACCTTGGCGTCAATCCCAGACCACCAATTAGACCAGCACAAAGATCGCTGATGATGTCACCATAGAGATTAGGCATAACCAACACATCGAAAAGAGCTGGATTCTTCACAAGCTGTTTATGCATTCACGGAAACAAGTATCAGCAGAGTTGCTTGGCTTTTTTAATCCAAGAGTGTTACATTACTATTAGTGATATTAAATATGCAAACTTCAACGGCCATTGGACAGTCTCAATGTTCTTCAATTAAACTAAAGCATGAAAGAGAGGGTGCGGCAGTTATTGTAATTTCACATACCATCATGCAACAGTTGTCAATGACAACCTCTTCGTATGTGATCTCAGGATACTTCTCAGCAACCTCACGGCAGCACTGCAAAGCCCATTACACCAGCGTTGAACAAAATAGAAAAACAAAAACCAACAAAAAGAATAGCTGTGCTTCGTATAAGAAGGATCAACAGTATCTTTACCTTAAGAAAAAGACCATCAGTTTTCTGCATGATGTTAGCCTTATGAATCGCAGAAACTCTCTCTCTTCCGTGAGCCTTTGCATAGTGGAAAGCATATTCAGCCACCCTCAAACTTGCCTGGCGAGTAATGATCTTGAGACTTTCAACCACACCTCTCACCACCTACTCACCAAAAATCACCATCATGTCAAAGTTTATCAAGGTTGGCTAGGTGCAAGTTAGCCAAAACCAGAAAGAAAGCTCACTTGGTGCTCAAGTCCACTGTACTCTCCTTCAGTGTTTTCACGAATGGTGACGAGATTCACGTCATCATACCGGGTTTTGTAACCAGGAAGGCTGTAGCAAGGCCTGACATTGGCGTACAGGTTAAGTTCTTTCCTGAGAGTGAGATTCAAAGAACGATGGCCCTTTCCAATTGGTGTAGCCATTGGCCCTTTCAGACCCACTCGGTTTCTTCTCACCGACTCTAAACTTTCCCATGTCAGAAAGCTCTGGGTTCTAGGATCTATCTCGGTCCCAACATAATGTTCTTCCCATTCAATTGGTACCTCGGCTTCCCTGAAAATCTGTATGTACCCACACTCAAATCATATAGATATATGACAAACAATAAGCATAATTGCTACAAGCAAATTAGAGAAGAATTCCACAATGAGGCAAACAAACACAATCTTCCACCTCATATTGAGAATTTCCTCAGGTGACATTCTATCCATAGGAGTAACGATTCTCTGTTTGATTTGCTAGAATTCAAGAATTCCTACAAAAACATGTTCAGGCTAGCCAGTAGGGTGAAAGTGACTCCACGTTTTTCATGTACCTATAAAACTCCACTGACCATTCAGACTGAAGTGTCATGATACACATCGTCCTTTAATAGTCCTTTCTCAGCAAGTTAGTGATTCAATGAAAGGGAAACAGCTATTTATTTATTGCAAGCTATGAGCTTTATTTCCCCAAACAGTTCTTCATGGTGGTACGTCTATTTTTCTGTCCAAGAGTTCACGGAAACTCCAGCTACTTGAGAATGGCTTCATATAATTACATAGACGGCTTTCGATTCATGTGGATGTTTCCTGGTCCTAGATTTGGCCCTTGCATGCACCTTGCTAGACCAGATATTTCCAAGCTTGACCACGCAAAGGATGGAACGTCATCTTCATTCATCACCAACCAAACAAATAGAAGGAAGAAAACAAAAAACTGACTTTTCACCATATGATGCTTTCTCAGCGAAATCTCGAAACAAGCAATTGCCATCTCAGGCCGACGAAAGACGAGTGCACACCACCAAACAAAGTCCAATCACGCTCACTTTGCCATTCAAGGAAAATCAAATCGAATCAAAGCTAAAATTCCATACAAAATATCATAAAACCACGGCGAGAACTGCAAGAAGGACGCCACTTGCGAGGGAAAACAAGGAAAGGAGAGACAAGCGAGGAAGGAAACCTGTTTCACAGATTCCGCGATCTCGGGGCCGATACCGTCGCCGGGGAAGAGAGTGGCCGTGATTGGAGCCGAAGAGAAAGCCCTAGCGGCGGAGAAAGCGGACGGGGACGAGAGGATCTGGTCAGGGCGGCTTCTTAGAGCGCGGCTCAGGATCTGCTTGAACGCCATGATCGCCGGAGAGGTCTGTGGTATGTGTTGGAATTTTGCCCTTTCGAGTTCTCGACGAAAGACAAGAGACAGGAGGAGAAAATCGTGCCACTGAGAAAGAACGAGAGAAGAGCCAACGCGACTCTGGGATAATAATAAATTTAATGAATAAATAATAATTTACAAGTGGTTCGTCCGGTTAATCGGTCAAACCGTTCATTCCCTTTTTTGGCACCTAAACCAGCTACAACCCGTTCAAATCAAAACCTAACCTAAAACCCCAAGACCTCTTCCTTTTCTGCTCCATCTTCCCCATTGATCACAGCTGCTTGCCTTGCCTGCGACTCCTCTCTCCGGCAGCCGCTTCTCCAACGCCGCCTCAACTCTCCTCGTGCTGGTAATTGTTTGATTCAGCTCAATTCACTGAGCTTACATAGTGAAAAGCTCATTTCTTCGACCGATTGCGTCATTTCATTGCAATGGTATTTGGAAGGGTAATGGTTCCTAATGTTCAAATGGTCAGCAAAATGAAATTGCTACCCTAATAGCAGCATATCCTTAAAAATCTTCTCGTGTTACAGAACAGCATCTCAGACTCATTCATGATTCCGCATTAATGTTGTTACAACCCGACCACTGAAGAAAAGAACACAGTTAATCAGAACAAAGCTACTTCGATCGTCAAGGTAAACTTTAACACCAATCCCATTATCAATGAGAGACTGAACCACAGCTCTTATTTTCCCTTCAAACTGTCCTTCTCCCTAGGAGTGTAGACAGCAGTGTAAACGTCAGCTTCCCTTGCCCTCTCGCCCAGAATCCGGCCAATGGCCAGGCAGGCAGGAACGTCCGACCTCGACTTCAGCACGGCCTTGATGTCCTTGGAGTTCGTCCCAGCCACTGCAACTTGCTTGCTCGTCACCCTGTGAGTGAGCGATGCTGACACGAACCGCTTCGAGATGAACACGTCCAGTGTGAACGGCTCCAGGAATGCTTGTGTCCTTTGCTTGAAAGAGATGTTCTTGTTCGGGTTATTTGATACTTTACCCTTCTGGAAAGTGTATGGCCTGCTGTTTTCATCGTCCAGAAAATCCTCTACCCCAAAGAAGCTTCTTGGGGCATTCTGTGTCTTGTCAGTATGATATGAAACAAATTTTCAAAGTTAAGTCAAGGCAGAAAGTTGTCCATTTGCGTACAATCCTGATACAATAAATTTTCTCATAGGCCGTGTTTGGCTGATGTATTGCAGATTTTGCAGTGATTGATCATGCCAGAATTCATGTGTTGATGTTTGTTTAACTCCATTATTTGGTTCACCAAGCAGAAGGAGAGCTTGATGCACTTGGAAAATAACTTTATGGACTTGTAATAAATTATAGCTCACCCCTCATCAGAAATTCATCAATCCAAGTACCAGATTCTCCTCAATATTAACAAGAAAGATATCAACAGTTGCTACTTCCACTTAATAATGAACCCAACCCATACAGAACCTACATATAACGATCTATCACAAAAGTATATAACAAACAATCTATTAGTTCCTAAAATCCATCTACTTCTCAAAGTCTCAAATTCTATGGCAATTGGCACAAGTCATGGGATGGTGAGGTGAAGGAAAAAGGAAGTACCTGTCCAGTATGGAAGCCCACAATTGCTGCATTTGAGAAAGGTCCAAGCTTTCTGCTTGAGGTCGACAGAACTTCCCCGCCCAGGACTTTGCCAAGCGCTTGTTTCAACATGTGATACTCCAGTTACTTGAACTAGACAACCCAGTTCAATTCAGTGGCCCTTCTCCGTCTATTATACCATGTGAGTAGGAGGAAATAAGAGATTAAACGAAAGAATGGGCAGCAAGGGAACCAGAGTTCGCATCAACTGCGTCCATACTATTTAAATTACCAACTCAGGCCCACGATGAAAGAGTTCCTGACACTCAAACATGCAATTCATCAAACAGTTTGCGTGCAAGTCCATCCAGGCCAGAAGCCAAAGCTAGCTTCCAGTTCATGAATTAGGTTTCTCAGTAAGAGCACCAATTCAGAGTTAACACTTCAATACATCCCCATTCCAAGGAACAGTGAAATCAATCAAAAGAAGCCTTCTCAATCCGAAGTCCAAGAACCATCCAACCGGAAACCAATACAACTAAAACCATATAAGCAACAGAGGGTTTCGGGAAGTAACCTGAAGCTTTATCCGTTTGGGATCGCCAGTTGGCTAATAGTCTGTGAGTTGCTGGCGTTTGGATTCGCCGGCGGCTATATATTACGGTCCGCGGAGAGCCAGCTCCATTCGCCTCTTTCGAGTTCGACGAAAGACGGAGAGAAGGGGAAAAGCGTTCCCCGCCGGAAAACAGAGAGAAAAGACTGAAGAGACATACGCAACACAGTGATAATAAAAATTAGTTATTTATTTCAAGCGGTTCATCCGGTTGACAGGTCGAACCGCTCTTTCCCTATTTTGGCAACTAACTAACTAACCGTCCAAATCGAAACCCTAACCTAAACTCCCAAGAAGATATATGTTCCTTCCGCTCTTTCCTCCATTTTCTCCCCACATTGATCCCAGCTGCTTTGCCTTCGGCTCCCCTCTCGTGACTGCCTCCTTCACTGCGTCTCAGTTGTGGCAGCTTCGGTTGCGCGGCGGAGCACAGATAAAAGCTCTCGTGGATCCCCGCGGTGCTCTGGTAATTGTTTGGTTGAGTTCAATGTTCGTTGAATTTACAGTAGTGAAAAGGCTCATTTCTTTCAATCAATTTGTCATTTCATTGTAATGGCATTTGGAAGGGTAATCTTTCGTAATGTTCAAATGCTGAGTTAAGTGAAATTGGCAAATTGCTAACATCCGGTGATTTAGTTAGTATGGGCTAGGCTAATTTTTTGGGACTGAATCATTCTTTGTGAGACAAATGTGATGTCTTTTTCGAGTTTTTAGTTAGCTTTCTAATGTAGTTGATTGTTGGATCCTTTGATGACTCTGCTTAGATGAGTACATCCTGCGTTTGGGTTACTTCTGAGCTTCTGTTGTGGTGCTGAGATTTTCATTTGCTCCATCCAGGGTAGTTTACTGCAGATATGCACACTATTCACCGCGTAATATCTCGGTTATCCTCAACCACGGTGTGCAGTAGTACACCTGCATCGAGATTTCTAAAGGAAACAAGTGCTACATCTGCATTTGGTGCTGAAGCAAGTCAATTCATTAGGGCACGTGGCTTTTCTTCACAGTCGGGCGGTAGTGGTGGTGGTGGTGGAAATCAGGGAACGAACGATTGGGAAAATTCTGCTGCAGGTGGATCGTCCTTCGGTTCGACCGGGTCTGATGATCTGGGATGGGACTCTGTTTCATCATGGTCAACTGGATTGACCAAGGATCATTTTGATGGGGAGATGGTTGGCAAGATGGCAAGTTCAACTGGCAAGGAAAACACAGCTTCTCAGTCGTTGAAGATATTTGAGTTGCAGGATCTTGATGATAAGCTAAACGAACTGGATGCAGAGAACAAGAAAGGGAGGGCTTTTGTTAATGGATGGGGGGAGAGATTACGCGAAATAAGTGGGTTGTTGAAGCAAGTAGAGGAGCCTGGTGCTAGAGGATCTTATCTTAAGGATTCAGAGAAGGCAGAGATGTATCGGTTGCACAAAGAGAACCCTGAAGTGTACACTGTTGAGAAGCTTGCCAAGGACTACAGAATCATGAGGCAGAGAGTGCATGCCATTCTCTGGCTCAAGGAAGAGGAGGAAGAGGAGAGAAAGCGTGGTCGTATCCACGATGACTCAGTCGAACTTTTGCTTGATACCTGCCCAGAGTAAGTCACCAATATCCGATGTTTCGTGTGGTCAAAGAGCACTCATAGAATGCCAAGAATTTATCATTAGTTTTCAACGGCGAGCATGAACATTTCATCAGTTATATGACCAATATAGTTGAGTTTCCTCAGACACTATTTTAACCTGGTCTTTTCTTTTCTTGCTCTGGCAGATTTTTCAATTCCCATGACAGAGAGTTTCATGTAGCATCTCTTCCTTACAAACCTGATTTCAAGGTGATGCCCGAGGGTTGGGATGGTACAACTCGGGATCCAGATGAAGTCCACTATGAGATATCCATGAAAGAAGATGAAATGCTGTACCAAGAGTTTGTCCAGAGGATGGAATTCAACAAAATGAAAGTAAGTTTCGTAATGCTTTCGACCATTTTATACTGTAAGGTGAAAAGTTGCTTTCCATCTGGACTTATTTAGCCATTTCGTGCCTTAACTTCTTGGTCATTTGGACTTATCTCCTCTACTTGTCATTCCCCTCCGATGTTGTGTGTAAAAGAAGCACAACTTGTATTTCTGAAGCGATTGAGGGAAAGTTGAGAAATTTTCGTTCTTGCTTTGTTTTGTGAGTTCTGGCGGGTTGTCGGGTCTGAAAATCTTTGTGAAGGTGGTTGTTAACAATATAGTGACTCCACGCCAGTGGAATATGGATCTTCTGTGGTTTAATTATTGTGTTTGTGGCCTCGGCAATATGATCCATATATCTTTTGGCAAGTGTGTGTGGTATGTGGAAGAAGCCTGCTTTCCATATGATGATAACGATGTCCCTTGTTACAGATTGCTGGGAAGGTTAAATGCCACAAATATAGTAGGCGGCGCCCATCTGAAGGCTGGAACTTCACGGTGGAGAAAATGGGCCCTCAAGGAAAGCGTGGAGGTGGCGGTGGCTGGAAGTTTGTAAGTTTACCAGATGGCTCCAGCCGACCTCTAAACGAGACAGAGAAAGTATATGTGAAGCGAGAGACTCCACGACGGAGGCGCAAGATTTTCCCATGATTTCATTATCATCAGATTCCGACGGCAAGGGTTATTGATTAGGGAGTAGTCTGGGAATATCTTCAGTGATACGAGCTTGGGGGTAATCACTCTGTATAATAAGAATGAAAGGAAGGCAGTTGGAGCTGGGTTCATTTGTTTTTCTCTTTTCTTTGATGTACTGGAAAATGGGTGAAATCTAGCCCTCTTTAACTATACATTCAAACAATTTCCTTCCATTCTTGGTTTACAGTTGATATAAACACAGAGAAAAATACTCGTCTTAGGCCGTCTTCAATCCTCGGGTGGAAGCTTGTATATGCCATAACCAGTATTTTGTAGGACCCTTTATGGCTCTCTCTGCACAACTTTTCAAAACCTCTAACAGCTCTCCCTATGAAGTATGAACCATGCTTGCATGCATGCACATTTCCTTGCGATTCAAGGTCCCCAAGAACTAGACACTGACCCTAGCTAGCGGGATGCGATCAACTGGGTCTGGCACTTGGATCAGTGAAGGAGGCTGCAGCGACCATGTCTTTAGATTGCTTAGTGACCGACGATGATGATGACTCGACCAGCTCTGGTACTTGATCAAGCATTCGGTTAATCTGCCCTTCGAACTCACCCTTCGCCCTGTTGCTTTTGCCTCCAATAACCAATGACGTTCCATCTTGTAAAGCCCATATCTTGTTGAATAGAGAAACAAGAACAAGAAGACAGACAACCAATTAGCATTTGAAACCAAGAAATACAACAAAGAAATCAAGAACAGCATTAATGTTCACAGAGCCATCTGCAAAAGCAGATCAAAATAGTGAAGCAAAAAATATCAGATAAGATGCTGATGATAAGATGCAAAAGCAGATAGTCCGCAAAAGCAGAATACCAACCTGTGCATGTGATAAGATGCTGATGCATGTTGTGAGCATTAGAGCACCGAATCCGCTGTACACTACTGGAACTCCAGGGTCAGTCTGATTCAAAGTAGCAAGTAGGTAAAGTTCGGTTTTCGAACTAGTTCGAAGAATATTAATTTCATAATGGTTCAAATACCTCAAAGCAAAGTCATACCTTAAGCTCAAGACCGCTGCTTCCAATTGCATCTTCAATAATAATTTTCATCCCATCAATCTCAATTGGAAGCTTGGAGTTAGGTCGTCGAACTCCAACGAATTTCCCTTCTTGATCATACAACACAATGGACTGTAGATCACGAGCAAGCATTGATCTGAAAGGGGGGGGGGGGGGGGGGGGGGAAGTAGTTCAAGCAGAAGACCTTTTTACGTAAGTATCAAGTTAGAAAGCCAGATTTGTAAAAGGAAACAAAAAGGAACAGAAACAGAAACTAATAGATTGACAGGGCATGCGTACATTCCCTTGACGTTAGGAGCATCAATACTCCCAACTGGTAAGATTGTCCCGTAGAGTTTCTTATCCCCGTTTACTTTTAGTGGCGCCATTGGCAGATTGAAAGGTCCTTCCCCATCTTTGACTACTTGCAATGCTGAAATGCTCCAGTCAGTCTGATAAATTGTAAACCCGCCATAACGTAGAGGATCATTCACACTGATTGTTTTCCTCATAACTTCCTTCCATCAAGATTTAACAGTGATAGGTCCGTATGAAACTGCGAAACCTATAGAAAACAATGATGCACACAAGTTATTTTGATGAGATGAGTTGCTACTATTAACGGTCAAGAAAAGCTTGATCATCTGAAAACAGATAAAGATGGGATGTACCTCTCCACTCTCATAGTAGTCCATGGAGAACTTGTTGACGTGAACCTCAGTGCTGAAAGCTTCAGTGGGAAAGGAGAGAAACCCACTTGGTCCCAGCACATCTCCTACAACAAAATTCAACCCTTGTGGAACTGTAACCGATCCCCTAAAGCTTCCTGTGGCGCTAAGAGTTGCACCCACCATTATCAGCAGCATGGCTAAGTGTACTCCAATTGGGGTGTACCGACCCACGAGACCCTTAAATGCATATAGACGTGGCCCCTTAAGAAAAACCTACATTGATGATCAAATCAAATCAAATCCATGCTCAGTAAGCACCACCATACACAACAAAATCACTATTAGTCATTTACATTTTGAAGAAGGGTAATCTACCTCATATCCAGATCCCATCAGGATCACACCCAAATCTTGAACTGACGCCTGGGGCAATGTTTCGGAGAAGTCCTGCTTACGAACAGCCTCAGGTGAGTCCATGAATTTCCATCTGCACATACCACAATGAATTGAAGTAGTAGTGCCAGTCAGTGAACAATTTGCAATCTGTTATCAGCTTCGTGTGGTCGTCATTTCACTACTACCAAGTACCAAACTAATCAAACCTTCTTGCGACCTTAACGAGGGGAATCTGAGTTGTGTACGTGCAAGCCATTAGAGAAGCCCGAGAAGCGCCAAAGTTGCCAGGAAAACAGGAGACGAGAACATGTGATCAAAACCAAGGGCGAGAACCCATCTCCACGTAATGAACCCATATGAAGGACTCTCTTCCGGGTAGTTCTGGAAATAGTACTCCGGTGTCTCACCTTGATCAATCACTGTACCTGCAGAAGAATGCTTGTGAACTCGTATCGGAAGTCAAAATGGCGTACCAACGATCCAAACACAATGGGTTAAATCACGATAAGACGATAATGATTCAGCAAAAAGAGTGAAATTCAGGTAGTAAAATGCGGCAAAAGGAGCGATTCCAAAATTTTCTGGCAATTACCAAGAGCCATAAGCGCAGCAATCACGAACATTTCTCCGATGGCCAGAGGCAAATTAGACAGCAGAGACAAAACCTTCCTCGACAACTTCTTCACCGACCGCGACACCGCACTACTTCCACTCCCAGCCTTGACGGGATCCTCCTCCTTCCCGCTGCCGCCGTTCTTCTCCGCCTCCTCGGACAGCGGCGGAGCGGAATTCCACAGCTCAATCTTCTTAGAAGCGTTCTGCTTCATGACTTCTCCAGAGGATTTCAGCTTGCAGTTTATTAAGGTTAACGGAGGAGGGAGTTGGGTTCTGGAGCGGTTGCGGGATGTGTAGAGGTGTTGAGGCTTGAATTTGAAGGTGGAGTTGACGAAATTGTGACAAGGCTTGAGGAAATGCAGTCTGGAGGGAGATTGGTGCAGCGTTCCCGCCGGAGTCATAAGAACCTCCATTAATGGAGCTCTGAGGCTTTCTTCTTGGAGTCCAAAAGATCAGAGTTTGGTGGTGGAACAACCAATTTTTCAAATTCCTTTTATCCGGAAATTATAATGTAGAACGTAGTGACGTGGACCATTTAGCAGATGCCAGGTAGAAAAGAGATGGCGGATATTTCATTTAAAAAATAGGTGACGTGGACCATTTAGCAGTTGCCACGTGTTAAAATGGTGGATAAAAACATAAATAAATTGGAGATGCGGGGAATCGAACCCCGTGCCTCTCGCATGCGAAGCGAGCGCTCTACCATATGAGCTACATCCCGATTTGATAACATTTTATCATACAAACTATATTATAATTTAAAAAAACTTAACCAGTTTTCAATTATCTTCCCAAAATCACGGCCACGGCCACACAGTCCTTTCCCTCCCACAAAAAAACAGAGCACTGAACTCGCAAGAATGCTCCACTCTCTATCCTTCCAGCCTTCTTCTTCCACTTCCTCCAAACCCTTCACCTCCCGCCGGCGGCTCCCATCGCCGCCACCAGGACCACCGCCGATCCACATCAAGTTCGACACAACCCGCCGCGAGCATCTCCGGTACCTCAAATCCATAGGGGTAGTCCACCCAAACACACAACTCCACAAGCTCCCATCTCCCGATTCCACCTCCAAAATCATCTCCATCGTCGACTTCTTCAAATCCAAGGGCTTCTCCAACGCCGACTTCCCCCGCCTCGCCTCCATCGGCCCGAGCTCTTCTCCCCAAATTCGACGTCTCCTACATCGAGCCCGTCTTCCAATTTCTCACCTCCGACCTTGGAGCTTCCCTGAACAGTCTCGGGGTCTGATCACCCGATGCCCCGACATTCTCTTCTCCGATGCGGAGCACTGTCTCCGGCCGACGCTGGACTACTCAGGCGAATCGGGGTGGAGAATTTGCACGTGCCGAGCATCTTGAATGCCTATTTGTTGAACATTCGAGTCGGGAAGTTGCAGTCCAAGGTGGAGTTCTTGAGGAGCATAGGGTTCTCGGAAGAGGAGGCGGCGAGGTGCTGTGCGAGGATGCCTGCGATATTCAAGTACAGTGTGGAGAATAACTTGAGGCGCAAGTATGTTTACCTTGTGAAGGAGATGGAGAGAGGGTTGGACGAGTTGAAGGAGTTTCCGCAGTTTCGGGTTTAGCTTGGAGAAGAGGATTGTGCCGAGGCATTTGCATTTGAAGGACATGAACGTTAGGGTGAAGCTGAATATGATGCTGATGTGGAGCGACCAGAGATTCTATGCTAGGTGGAAGAAGAAGAAGAAGACAACAGGGCTGCCTAAGCGAAATTCGGGCTCTTCTGACGGACTGTCGTAGCTACAACTTCAGTTGTAAGTTTGAGAGGAGGAGTCTAGCAATAAAAACTATTGAATCGTGATTCGAATCCTTCAAACGACATTATCTAGCTGATGCAACCGTGTTTTGATTGTTAGTACGAGAAAAGTGCGAAACAGGGGCTCAATTGTTGCTGCTTAAGCTACTAGTTCTGTCATCTGTGAGCCTTCTGATTTCACTGCTCGCTGCAAGTACTCAAACAAGAAAGCAGGTTCTTGGTTCACATTGTCAGGCACTAGTTTGCACGGAATGGTACATGTAACCGCTAAAAAGGCGATATGAACCAACAACTTCGAGAATCCGCTTGTGATAAATGTTTCTAGCCGTTGGAAGAAACTATGTTTCTCTAATGTTTAGTGCATAGGCGGAAGTTAACTCGTACAAGCAAGCCAAGAACTGGGCTTCTAAAGGGTCTTGCTATCGATTAACTGAGGTCCCTTTCCATCTGCATAACCTATCACATAGAAAGAACAGGATCAAGAACAATTGAGGGAAATGCTGCATTTACTGTTCTCACATTCAAAGCAACATTTTACCTAGGGAAACACGGGTTTCATGGCTGCTTCACTAGCATTTCGATATCAGCTCCTACTTCAGAGATCTTAGCATCCTTGGACGTCTTGGCTTCTTTTGCAATCTTATCGACTTCAAAGTCCAAAGCTATTCTTTTCACCAGACCATCAAGCATCTGTTTCACAGAAGTAGACCATCACTTATTGAAACAAAGATGGTTGATAAACATTACTTGCAGTTAAGCTGCAATGTAAAATTGAACACCTAAGTAAGAACATTTAACACATAAATAAATAAAATTAACTACATACGAGGGATCCAATGGCGACAAGAGCCCGGAACTTCGAATCAACATCCAGACTTTCCTGTTCTGCTATCTGTAAAAACAGTAGAAGATATTGTTTAAGGCCAAATCTTGATAAATAAAAATGAATGAAAAGATCAGTATCAAGATCACAGTAGCTGCTTCCGTACAACCTATTCTTCTTTTCTCCCTTAGTTCTTTTATTTTACCACTAGAGTTAATTTGGGTATTAAGCAAAATAATGGATGGACTATACCTCAAGAGCGGCAGAAAGAACATGTGATTGACCCTCTTCATCTTTCTTCTCTATTAGTAGAACTGCATAGCTACATAATTCAAAGATTTATATTGGTGAACATTTGCCAACAAGAGAAGCAATGATTATTGATTACTTTAACTGCTGGTTCTTTCATTTTTACAACTCATTTACAATCCATTTCTTATCATTATTAGAGTTAATACAGGGAAAATGCTTACTTAAGTATCATGGTTGAATAAGCCAACTGCAAGTTCTTGTCACTCCGTACTCGAACTTGTAGCCAAGCAGAGCCCCGATCGGTAGCCCGAACACATAGTAACACACAATGTTTATCAGTGCAACCTGGAACTGCCATCCTGCCCCAACCGCTACCCCTGCAATCAAATTCGACACGCGAAAACATTAGGATCGACATCGCGTATTAAGGCAAAGACAGACGCGGAGAGCTAGCAGGCGTATTGAGGGGTGGGGGGAAGTTAAAAAAAAAGGTTACCGTGGAGTACTGGCAGGATGCTGTCCAGGAAGATAGTGGCTGCCAAGAAGTAACCAAGCTTGGACGCCTCGTGGATCACCTCCGGCTTCGAAGTGAATAGCTTCGGGAACTCGTTCTTCGTAGCTAGAACTGCTGCGGCGAAGATCAGTCCTAGGATTGTTGAAGTTGTGACAGTCACCATTACTGAGAATTTCGCAGCTTTGTGGTTGCCTGCTCCTAATTCGTTCGACACTCGCACGCTGTGCAGAAAGATTCGGAGTTAGTAACTTGTACAAGTTCATTGATTTGTGTGATCACTTATCAACAAAAGGGGCAAACAGCACTGACCTTACTGCTGCATTGAATCCCAAAGCGACCATCAATGTCCACAGCTGAATGTTCATGCTGCAAAAAATGCCAACAAAATGTCACATTTCAATGATCAAGCTTTTGACAAATGGAGTCAGAATTCGAGTTTCTCTACATAGAGAACTCAAATTTCTTACCAGATGGAAATGGCATCTACAGCAATTTCCGGGTTCTTCAACCATCCAACCATCAGAATCACCACCGTGGTATACCACAGCTCCAAGCTGATTTCAAAAAAGAATCTCACCATTAACAAACTCCAAAAACTCTGAAAACAGAACTAATCAAAACCCTAAATCCCCAATTCCTTCTTACCACAACATAATCGCAGAGGCAAGCGAGAGCTTCACAAACCCACCAAGCGACTTGAACGCCTTCATCGAAAACCCAGTCCAAGCTTCAGGAAAATAACCAGAGACCACATAAATCATCTGACCCAAAACCACCAGCAGCCAAGACACATCCGCCACCACAGCAGCACCAACGACGCCATAACCAAGCTTGGCGACGAAAATCCAGTTGAGAAGCGCGTGGATTCCCAGCACCACGGTCGAAATCGAAGTCAAGACCCACACTTTGCTCTGGGCTTGAAGAAACTTCTGCAGCGGGAAATTGAGCGCGTACAGGAACAATTGAGGCACGACCCAGATGGCGAATTTCCCCGCCAGCTCCGAAATTCGCTTGTCCTGGTGAAGCAGCTTCAAAATTGGGGTAGCTAGAATGTAGACCGGCGCCAGGCAGAGCGCTGTGACCATACAGATTATCCATGACCTCTGCATATAGATTCCTAGCATGTGGGTTTGCCCTGCTCCCACTGCTTGCCCGCATAGCGTCTCGAGGGCGCTTCCCATTCCCAACTGCAAACCCAATCAAAATAAATCAGTCATTTTAGTTCAAAGACCTAAGCTTTATTTCTTTTCAAAACAGGGGAGAAACAGAGGAACAGACCATGAATCCGAAGACGAAAGTCTCGAGGACGTTCTGGACAATGGAGACGGCGGCGAGCTGGAGGGAACCCAGGTGGCCGACGAAAGCGGCGGTGACGAAGCTGATTGAGAATTGAGAAACCTCGGTGATTAGAGCTGGAGCTGCAATTTCCCACATGTTTTTCGACTCTGCCCACCAAGTCGGCGCCATGGTTTTGGGGTTGGGAGAAAGGGGCGCCGACGCTCCGGCTGCAGGGTGTTCTATCTCCATTGTCGTTACCACCGCCAGAGAAGGAGAAGAAGGAGAAGAAGGAGGAGAAGAAGCTGCCGCCGATTGTGGAGGTGGAGTCGTCGTCTTATTGTGGGAGTTTTGATGAATTGAATCTCCCGACATGGCGAGGAGTAAGTTAACAACCACTACTCTGTAAATGCGACTTCTGTCTCAGCTGGCATATTCTCTTTCTGCCAGTGCCAGAGATTTGCTGAATTTATTAATGTGTAGTAAAACAGGGGAAAGGGGAGCTGACCAGTGGAAGTCTCTATAATTGAGATTTAAATTATTGAATATGACCTTAGAGCAAAGTATTTGATTATTAGAATATATTTGAACCACGAGCAACATGGAGGCTGCTTACTGTTGAATTGCTAGTTGACAGAAGAAGCGGGGTTTGGTAAAGGGTAATAAAGGTTAGGTTTTTTTTGGGTTAGGTGAAATGGATTATGGATGTTTGATTAAGAAAAAAAACAGAGAGAGGGAGGAAGAGGGAAGGAGAAAGGCAAGATCAACTTCTCCTTCTTGTATTTGCCTTTGCCATTTATTCCCGTTTCCACTGTAATGCACGAATACGTCTGAACTCTTGAATAGAATATTGGCGATGCGGAGAAAAGGGTTGATGTCGGAAAGGGGGAAAAGGACGAGGGTTTATCTAATCTTGTTGACTTTCTATTGAGTGGGCGGTTCTTGACTTCTGGTGCTGTTTTTAAGCATGTGTGGTAATCGGAATTTGGGCCGGCTCTGGCGGATCTCAGATGGGCTCAGGTTGTTGTAATGATATTGCCCAGGCCCATGGTAAGGTGTTTGGCTGGATTCTGGTCTCCTCTTCTTTTTATGCATTTAACAGGCTTTCCCCATTAACGGGAGTCTTTTGGCACACAATGTCGTTTGCTTCATAAATTTAAAAATGAGAGTTTTGTAATTTAAAAACCCAAGGATTTGAGGCATCATGGATTTGTAACAATCCTTTGTTTGTAGGGATGTTTTTGTCATGAATTTAAAGGTGTGGGATTTACTACTTGAAGTCAAAAATTACATTACTGCCCTTTTCTATATGTTTGACATGTTTATGATATGTACACAAAACAAGGACAAAACTTCAAAATTACCTTACTATCATTTTCTATATGTTTGACATGTTTATGATATGTACACAAAACAAGGACAATACATACTAATAAGCATAATGTTGCCACATGGACAATAATAATAAACGAGAAAATTCCGTTTTAACTTTTAACGTAACATAATCAATTGCCAATTCTTTGTCCTCCTTTTCAAAAGTGACATATAACAACATATATTAGAAGCGGGAGAACAAAGAATTACACGTTTCATGAAAAGGTCAAAGAAAACTAGAACACAAGAAATGATATAAAAAATCTAACTCATGTTTGCACATTAATTGAACGTTTATATTATTCATTTATTGTTAATTATAATGTATAATAGTTAAATTTGAGGGCAACCTTGGAATATTAAAAGTACATGAGGGTATATGGGTAAAATCTCATCAAGGATTTATGCCATATTCCAAATCTCACATCAACATGTGGGATTTACAAGTCCGTGGGGTCCACGGGTTTGAACCCTTAAAATCCGTGGGCCCCACGGATTTGGTCTCCAAAAAAGGTGCAAGCAAACAACGGATTGTACCTAAATCCTTGATAGTTGGTTTTTTGGTACCAAATCCATGAAGCAAACGACCCCTTAAATATTAATAATCACGCGCGGGTTCATATTCGACTTTTTTGGGCTTGACAAAGAATCGAGGCAGGTGATTATGCGTCTCACCCGAAACAAAATTCAAAAGGTCAATTCGTCAGTTAAAATGAAAATAAATTATTTTTGACTGATTGAAATCATCTTTATTGAAGGCAAATATGCAATTAAGCATAAACCACATGTAATTAGGTAACCTGATCATTATTTTCCTTCTAATAAGTAATTACTACTAATCCTTAATGTTATCCCCTCCGCTCATTTATTAATAGCAAACTCCAGCATCCGCTACAAAATGGAAACCGCGCTGATCAGAAAACCAAAACAGAAACTCCATATAATCATTCACCTCTCTGGAAATCAAAGCAAATCCAAAACGAGGGAACCAAATTACGCAGAGAGAAACACACAAACCAACCAATTAAAAAATGGGGGTGGTGCTAATCGACGGGAACACGGTCCGCGACTTCGTGGCGAGCGAGGACCACTTCAACCGGAGCGTGGAGGAGACCTTCGCCCTCCTCGACGTCGACAAGGACGGCGTCCTGTCCCGGTCGGAGCTCCGCCGCGCGTTCGAGAACCTCCGCCTGCTCGACGCCGACTTCGGGGTCGACACGCCGACCAAGCCCGACGAGGTGACGAAGCTCCACAATTCGATCTTCGACAAGTTCGACGGCGACCACAACGGGACGGTGGACCTGGAGGAGTACCGGTCGGAGGTGCGGACGATCCTGCTCGCCATCGCCGACGGGCTGGGGTCCAGCCCGATTCAGATGGCGCTGGAGGATCACGATCACCAGAGCTTCCTCAGGCGAGCTGCCGAGCTCGAAGCCTCCAAACTCGCCAATGTCAATCCTTAGGATGATTTTTTTTTTACTTCTGTTCGATCGTTTGCACCTCTTTTGATTTGCATTGCAATCAATTTCTGATGACCTAAACTTTTTTGTATAGTTTAATTCATTGTGTTCTATGATATTATGTGGTAATTTAAATGGAACTTGTGGCATTCGTATCAATACTTTGATTTCTGCAATGAATCGACTCTTTCAATCGCTTAGACAATCAATATCCCTTTCGCGCTTTTGTGCATCCTTAAATTTTTTTTTTATTGAATTGGTATGTGAAATGACATACCAATTCGTATCTCGTGTATGAAAGGGGAGAAAATACGTATTAGCGTGAGTTTCCTCGATGCTTGCCATCGCCGCGATTCATCCTCCTCCTTAACAACCTCAGTATCACCTTTGTGATATAGAGTCCCCTACCACCTCATTTCGTGGAGATTAATTTTGATGTTGGTTGTCAATAGGAATGCTCTTTGTTCATCTGGTTTGGTTGTACGTGACTCGATTCGTCAAAATTCATTGTAATCCGTAGTGACATCTTTCTTGCGGTAAATCATCATTTTCACGGCGCGTGATAAAAATTGATGTCTTCTACTGAACATTGTGTATAATATGGAGCATTTTCTCGAGTCGCTAATTGAATTGTTTATAAAATGGTACACAAAATTCTAATAATGTCTCTGGTAGAGTTAGTATCTTTTAATTTTGTAGCTTGGGTTGGCCTAGTTTTGGTTGGGGTTAATTGCACCAGATACCACGTAATTATTGGTTTCGTTACATACTAACCACTTACATTTTTTTAGTTGCAACTAAACCATATAAGTCGACTTCCGGTTGCATCGTTATATTTTTCATTCTTAATCTGAACGGAAAGTTTCAAATTGAAAATTTCCGCATCAATTTAGACAATTACATTTTTCCTCATATTCTTTCATCTTCATTTCGGTATTACCAGCGTTCTCTTTAACTATCTTATGCCCTCCTTAATTGTTTTTGTCAAAATTTACAATTGTTTCTTTTTTTATATTAATTTTTAGGTCTAATTGAATTAAACTTTGGCTTCATTCCAAATAAAATAAACTTTTTAAACTTATATGGAATGTGAAATGCAATCCATTTTCTATTTTTTTCCATCTATAATATGTTTTGCATAATGTGCACCTCAATATAGGCTTTTCTTTTGGGAAAAAGTTTTTTAAGGAGCCACTCTTATAGATTGTTTAAATTCATCTATTATAAATGAATTTGTTGTTTCAATGAATATTTGAGCTGAACGAAGTTAGAAGTTATAATAGAAAGAGTCTTTCTTGAGATGAGTTCTGCACACCTGAACTTCAGGTGACAGTTACATAAAAACTAAAAGAAGCATATTGAGATTAAATACAAGGGGATGCTTTAAAGTTTAAACTGAATGACTAAAAAAGAATTAAGAAATGGTCTTATGCAGTATAATCAAGCAAAAAAAAAGTAATGAGGGAAATTCTGTTGAAGTTTTATCATAGCTTTGTTATTAGTGTTCTACTAAAGAAAGACTTACATAGCGAAACTCAGTTTTCCGACAGAAGTTTGCAGTAGAAATCCCCATCTACAACTCTATAAATAATTTATCATTTGGATCGACAACCACAGAGCAAGATAAGAAATTCAAAGGGCTATTGTGATCGGGTTTATTTAATCCTCCATTTTTTTAAAAAAAATATTTAGTTTGTGGAGACTGGAGAGAAAGAAAGTCAAAGAAAAATGGTGTGGTGTAAATTAAGGTGGAAAACTTCAATTTGATACCCACCGTTAAGTTTAAGAATGAAAAATATAACGAACTAATGGTGCAATTGGAAGTCGACTTATATGGTTTAGTTGCAACTAAAAAACCTTAAATTGTTAATAGGGCAAATACAATATAATATCCATAACTATTATGTATGGGGGATTTATATACGCAACTATCAATATACAAAGTATTATCCAAAATTACTCTTTCGCGTAATTAAATGGATAGAACCCCGTTATCGTGAGTTTAATTGTAACGGTGCCGGACACGTCAGCCGCCTCGTAGGATTCCACGTAGGATTTCAATTAAGTACTAATTTTATTAACTTTCTTACCCCTTTTCATTTCAAATGTTCCCCCAAAATCCTAGGGTTGGCTCCCGACAGAGACGAAGTGAGGAAAGGTCGCCGCCACCGTCGTCGCGACCTTCACCACCGTCGCTTCCCGCCGTCGCGACCTTTACCGTCGTCGCTTCCCACTGTCTCGACTTTCACCGTCGTCGCTTCCCACCATCGCGACCTTAACCGCAGTCGCTTCTCCCCCGTTTCACAGCTTGTTCGATTGAGGAACCCTCCTAGTCCAGGGAAGAAGACTGGTTCGATCGAGGAACCATTTTTCTTCAAATCGCGAGGGTAAGTTCTTCTATTAACCCTGCCCCTGTCTACCTCTTTCCATCGCCAACTGGTTGGAATTAGGAAAAGGTTGTGCTAAAACCCCAGTTTGATACACGAATGGAATGTTTCTTTTCAGTAGGAAGAATAATGTCTGCATTGGAGGGATCTTCTGGTTCAGCCAACACAAATGACGTTGTCGGGCCGCTGTGCCATTGTAACAAACCCTGCATCGTGAACAAGTCTGGTACTAGTAGGAATCCAGGAAGGCAGTTTTATTGTTGTCAAAATTGGAAGGTAATTGTCTTTGTTGTGACGTTTGGGTTTGTTTACCTATGACCTTCATCTTAGTAATAGGTTTCTTTTCATTTGTAGACGAATGATTGTCGGTTCTTCCTATGGGTGGATAAGTATATGAGAAGGAATGGATCAGTGTGGTCTACACATGATGATGAGACAGTTGGTCTTAAGGCAAAACTTATGGAAGTGGAAGCAAGCAACAACAAGCTGTTAGAAGAGTTGAGTAGAATGAGAGAAAGTCATGCAAGGTTGGTTTCCGAGCTGAGCAGAATGAGCAACATTATCTCTAGCTTTGACACGAAGATAACAAGGTTGATGTACTGTCTAATTGGTGTCATAGTTTACGCTGCATTCTGTAGATTCCAGGGAGTTTGAGGTGTAGGAAAATGTAAGCCAACACTTATGTAATGTTCAATTCCATTCTAGTTTGAGCATTGTCGTGATGTGTGGAAAACAAGTAAACTTCAGTTTCAGTATTGTTTCGTACGATCTGAGCACTTCTATAACACCTTGTACCAAAACTAAATCCTTTCAAAAGAAGTTGACAGCATTACATCTGCACTATTTTGGACAAAATGAAGCGAGTCTGTACAGTATGCAAAATGTGGTGAACCAACTGGAATCACCTTACAAAGCTCGATTGAAATTGTTCCATAACGCTAGATACTTGCGTAGTGTTTGGGACAAGATGAATTGAGCTTGTACAAAATGCAAAATGTGGTGAACCAAACCGGAATCACCTTACAAGCTAAAATTGCAAACCTTCTGCCTATTAACATACTGTTCTACCATAGACAAAAGCTAAAACATAACAAAGAAACAGTCCACACACACGTCTTCAAGCGATATGTTGCGGTTGAGACTCAGTTTGAGTTGAAGGAGCTCCCCTTGTATCAATCTGAGTTGGCTGAGTTCCAACTCCCTCTGCAGAAGTACCAGCTCCATCTCCCAATCCAGTTGCAATTTTCTCATAGATGCAATCAACCCCTAGAGCCTGTCTAACTTCTCCATCCACCACCAAGTTCCTGTGAAGGTTCCCATTTCTTGATTTCTACATAAGGAAAACAAACTTAAGGGTCCAAAGTTCAGAATATCATGTAAATGAGTCAAGGATTATATGGCATATGAGAGTCTTACACGTGCTGGTGGGTTCAAATTCTCTGGACAACTCCTTGCATTATGTGTCGTTGACCGACATTTAGAGCAGTGCATAACCCTCTATGAATACCACACAAGACACCAATCAATCAAGTTTCTCAAAATATTCAAACTAGCACATGAACAAGTGGCATACCTTTTGACGGGTTGATCCTTCAACCTGCTACCATATACCTCTGCCTCGGGTTGATCCTCCAGCCTGCTGACCTCTACCTCTGCCGCGGGTTGATCCTCCAGCCTGCTGCCCTCGACCTCTGCCGCGGTTTGATCCTCCAGCCTGTTGCCCTCTACCCCTGCCGCGGTTTGATCCTCCAGTTTGTGGGTTGGGGCATTTTCTCACGTTGTGACCAGTACTCCCACAGTTTGAGCAATGCAACAACACTCCTTTTTTTGACATTCCTGTACCCGAAGGCCTCCCATCTTTGTGCAACCTTTTCTCAAGTTCACCTGCTTCCTTTCTCCTTTTCTTTTTTGGTCTCCCTGGCATCTTTTTTTTTGCTTTGGAGGGTATATTGGATACCCTTCAGCCCTAGGCCAGGCTTGCTGCCCCACAAGACATGGAATTCCTACTTTGTAAACTTTAGCAACAGTAGGTACAAAGTAGAAGGGATCCACGTAATCTTCCAAGTGCAGCCTCATTAGCCCAATAGCGGAGAGTACATGGCAACAAGGGAGACCACTTAGGTCCCAAGCACCACATGTACATGTACGATTCTTCAAATCGACAACAAACGCTGAATTCCCAAGTTTCACCTCTACCATGTGCTCGCTGCTAGCTAGAGAAACACACTTCCTTGCATCTTCATCCTTCTTCAGTATCTCACTCATAGGACGTGGGCAAATCAAATCATGCAGCCTGTCAAACTTCTTGTGCTTCTTCCTCATCATCACCATAATATGAGTTCTGATACCCTCTAACATCTCAATTATCCTATAATATGAGTTCTGATACCCCTCTGCCTCAGATCCCTCTTCCACGTCAGAATCATCTACATTAAAGATCTCCCTAGCAGCTGAACACTCTCCCACCACCTGTGCCTCAACAATGTTGTCTGCCTCCTCGTTGTCTCCCATGACTCCATCTCCCTTCTCAATTACCTCAGCATACACAGTAACCACCTTAGTATCGTCTAAATCAACAAACAGCCCCTCCATCACCTCCTTATCATATTTAACTTCATGCAGGCCATCAGACATCGTGGATCTCGGGGTCAAGTACCAAATCTTCCGGACGCCTTCATAGTGCAAGTGCACTGTAGTCAATGCCACAAGTCCAAAGTAGGACACTTGATCAACATCAACGGTGAATTTTTCTAAATCACCCCCCACATATCGTGGTTCATCACCGGAGAAGTCCATCTCGCCTCCGTGATGGTAGTCAATCCCCATGTATTCTGTCATTTGCATGGTCAAGTATTATACAGGTTGTTATATTGCTTGAAAACAAATAGACACAACAACAACCATAAAATATTATCGTTCACATGTGCTGGTTATCAAAAGATGGGGAAATTAGACCTCCAACCCACTGCAATTGACCATTCTATCCACCAATTCCAATTTCTTTCACATTGATACAAGGACAATTTCGTGAACAATTTGAAAAGGTCCCACTGTGGTCCTCACACCAACTTGCACGAACGTTTTCAAAGAAGCAAACTATAAATAGCGAGAATCGACACAATCCTAAGCCAACAGAATGGGTATTGTTCGAATTGGAGAATCGGTACTGAAAAGTGAAAACCTAATCTTTCAATACTGTAAGCTTTTGACGGAACAAACCAGAATCACCTTACCTTCGTCCCGGGAATCGTCCAGTCTGGCTTCGATCTGTCAACCCAAAGTCGTTGACCGCTCCGGAACGATTCGACGGAATCAGGCGATGGAAGTCTCGCGAATCGTCCAGTCTCCTCTGCTGCGTCGATTACACTTCCTCTGGCGCGGGAAAACTATGCGATTTCGTCGGATGAAGTGGGGGCGGATGAAGTGGGGGCGGGGGGACTCAGGCGGTGGCAGTCTCGCCGCCACGCCTGCAAGACGGTGAGTGGCTCGTCGGCGACTTCGGGTCGTCGCCGACGAAGGGGGAGATGGGATGGACAGATGAGAGAAGAAGGGGTTTAGGATAAGAATCGGGTGAGTGGATGTGAGAGGAGAGGAGGATATTTGCTTTATTTTTTAAGTTTTATGTTATTTATTATTATTATTTAATCAATTCCACCTGGGATGCCACGTTCTCCCTTCCACCTCAGCTTTTTTTGCCAGGTCAGCATTGCAGAAAGACATTCTAACGGGGTATTAACGGACAATTAACGATTGGATAACACTTTGTATATTGATAGTTGCGGATATAAATCCCGATACATAATAGTTATGGATATTATATTGTATTTGCCCTTGTTAATATGCAACAAAATCAATACTGGTATTGGGGGGTTTGTTCATGCACTTCATCCGGTTATTCGAACTAACCGGTATAAACCGGTTATTTTCTTATTTGCTTTGATCGGCCAATTAAACTAACCCGTTCGAATCAAAACCCTAATTGTTTTTCTGATGATGTCTTGTCCCTTCGACTCTTTCTTTCCTGCTCTGCCTTCCAATCCTTGATTCCGTCTTCCTGCCTGCGATTCCCCTCTCCGGCGACCGCCGCAGCTCTCCTCTCAGTCGTGCCGGCCTCCGCCTATCACCGCCGTCTCCTTGCTCGCCTCCTCCACTGCTTCTTTCAAGAGTAATTGGCTGCCCTCTCTTTCCCTAATTGTCGCTTGCGCTTTGTTTGGCGGAATGAAATGGGGTTTTTATTCTGGTAGTTGAGCAGCTCGATGTATATGTCCTTCTTCTGCATCCAGATTGGTTTCATTCGTCTCCTCCCTCATTCCGCCGCTCCCGTCTAGGGTTTTAGCTTCACTGCTGCTCCAGCTCACTCTCACTCATTCGCTGGGTTTACGTTTCAGGTCGCCCGGGGAATAGACCTTGCAGTTCCACCAGTGGGTCGCAGAGATGGCTGCAAGTTTCGTTTCCAAGTTCTCTCGCGGTAAGATACCTATTCGCCACTTGATCTAAGGGATCTTCTGTTTACCGAAATGGTGCTCTCTGATTCATTTTGCAGGGAACCCTTTGCTCTTTTGCTTAACTATCAATTAGATAAAGAATGATGAACAGTTGTAATGATATCATGATTTTCTTGGATTATTAGATAAATGGTGAAATGATTCCTTGCTAATGTAGTTGATGAAAATTGCAGTGGGGCGATCTCTGTTGGGGGGACTAAGCAACAACATTTCATCTGTAGCAGCCAGCAGCACATCACCTGAACTCACTTCCAGCAGCAATGCCCTGTACCAGGTTCGTTAAAGTTCTCTCCCTTTCGTCACATGTCAAGCCTTTTGATGTGTATACTGGTTCACTAGATGCTTGAAAATCTTTCTTATAGATTGTTTGGTTATGTTCTTCCTTGTGACTCTTGTCTCTTCCTGATGGAAGAACCATCTTCTTGGCTTTCTATTCTGCACCAGCAACATAGGACGTTCATTCAAATGAGGACGGTTCTCAAAGTTGCAGATAACTCGGGTGCCAAAAAGGTGATGTGTATACAAGCGCTGAAGGGGAGGAAAGGTGCGAGGCTGGGGGACACAATCGTGGCTTCGGTGAAAGAAGCAATGCCGAATGGCAAGGTGAAGAAAGGGAAGGTTGTGTATGGAGTTGTTGTGCGGGCTGCCATGCAGAAGGGGAGGTGTGATGGAAGCGAGGTCAAGTTCGACGACAATGCTGTGGTTTTGGTCGACAAGCAAGGTCAGCCTATCGGTACCAGAGTTTTTGGTCCTGTGCCCCACGAGCTCAGGCGGAAGAAGCACGTCAAGATCCTCACTCTTGCCGAGCATATTGCCTGACTTTTTAGTTGTTGTTTTAGGTGTTATAGATAGTTTGATGTTTCGCTTCCATGTATCTGTCGATGACTCTGTTTCTGGTTAATCGTTAAGCTGTTTACGGCAGAGCAGAACCATGCACTTTGTTTACATAAAATCGACGAGAACTTTCAGCTAGTGTAGTTTCCTCTACTTCCAGATCAATCGGAAAAGTTTATGGGTTTATGGTTCAAAGATAACTATTATAGAACTGCTAGTTAATTGTTGATGGAATTATTAATTCATTATAACCTAAATATACTAATTTAGGATTGAAGTTATCATTAACCATAAAATGTTTTATACTTTTATTAAATTCAAATTAGTAATGATAGTGACTGTCAATACTTAGTAGATCATGTAAAGCTGTGGGAGCGGATATGGTGACAACACCATATTTGTTGTTATTATAACAACACTAGTCTCCAACCAATAGGAAGTTAGGGTTGTGATGACTTTTTATTAGTTGGGTTGACCTAGTGTAAAATCAAAACAGGGGTATAATTGTCATTATGAAAAATATGTTTAAATAATAATAAAAAATAAAAAAACAAAAAATATTTTTTATTTTCGGCCCAAAATTTTTGGTGGACGGAATTCGGCCACCGGTCGCCGGAATCTGGTTGCGGTCACCGGAATATGCTTTTTTGCCGCCGGAATATGTTTTTTGTCATCGGAATATGCTCACAGTCGCCGGAATATGCTCATCGTGGTCGGAATATGATTACCAGCGTCGGAATCTAGTCATCGGGACTGGAATATGCCTATCGGCGCCGGAATCCGGTCACTGACGGTCATCGGAGTTTGGTCAACGGTCTTCGTTGACCGGTCAACAGCCAACGACCACCGGATGTTAAGTTCTCCATTGTGAGATTTATGGTTTGGTTTTCTCATATTTTTGTATGCCTTTTGTGGTTTGCTTTATTGTGTTTGTGGGTTGCATTAAGAAGTTTCTAGTTTGCTTTATCGTGTTTGTGGTTTGCATTGAGAAGTTTTTGGTTTGCTTTCAAAAATTTTGTGTTTTGCATTGAGAGGTTTGTGGTGTGTTTTAGGAGATTTGTGGTATACATTAGGAGGTTTCTGGTTTGTTTTTGTGGTTTGCTTTAACGTGTTTGTGGTTTGCATTATGAGGTTTCTAGTGTGTTTTTGAAAAATTCTGTGGTTTGCTTTGTGAGGTTTCTGGTTTGTTTTAATACATTTTTGGTCTGCATTAGGACGTTTCGGGTTTGTTTTTGTGGTTTTGCTTTACGGTGTTTATGGTTTGCGTTATGAGTTTTCTGGTGTGCTTTCAAAATATTTGTGGTTTGGTTTGTGGTGTTTCTGGTTTGTTTTAGGGAATTTGTGGCATGTATTGGGAGGTTTTTGGTATGCTTTTTTATGGTTTGTTTTACCGTGTTTGTAGTTTGTTTTATGAAGTTTCTGGTGTGCTTTGTGGTATTTTTGGTTTGTTTTAAGAGATATGGTTTGTATAATAAGGTTTTTGGTGTGATTTAAAAATATTTATGGCTCACTTTGTAGTGTTTCTGTTTTGCTTCACAAGACTTATGTTCTACATTAGGATGCTTCTGATACATCATAAAACAAAAAAATATGATAAACTTTGTTGATCGTAGTGATCAGGTATCAACCATTATATTGTCAAAAAGCTATCCATATATCCTTCACTTGTTATTACTATTACTCTTCTATAATTTTAATGCAATAAACAAGGTGGGAAAATGAAAAAAAAGAAAAGAAAAGAATTTGGCGATGACAACATTGGAGAATCCATCAGCGTGGAGGGAGAATTCATCCTCTTCTCCAGACCTTGGAAATCGACCCATCGAAGCAGGGGAAAGAAATCGTTCAGAGTAGTGGTCCCCTGAATGGAGGAGAATTCGCCGATCAGATCCCAAAACTCCTCCGCCTCTTTATCCACCACATCCGATTCGCAGTACACAAAGTACCGCTTCCCGGCGACCAACCGAAGCATGGTGTTGAAGGCGAACCCTCTGAATTTCGAGCTCAGATTCACCCCTCGTTTGTCTCCGGACTCTGCCTCTCTTGAGAGTTCGGTCAACATCAACCCGGCCTCCGCTCGAGCCGCCATGAACCTGTAAATAATTCGAACAATTCATCGGAACTTTTCCCCAATTCCTCCTCCCCGTCCGGCGAAAGGTAGAGAAAGAACGAAGGATTGAACATTTACCAGAAATGATTCGCCAGGGGAGAGCCGGGTGGTCATGAAAATCGTTGACCAGACAGTACACGCGACCTCAGGTAAAGCGGCGTCGTCGGTCAAAGAGATGCCCTCCGGTATGGGGAAAACGTGCGCCGCCGGAACCGCCACTTTCTCCGCGTAGCCTCCGCCAACAGCAGCAGGATCCTTTGGCATCCCTACAGCAAGACGCGACTCTCCGCTACTCTGCCTCTGGTGCGTTGTCGTCGAGCTGCTCTAAGCCCGCCGCCTCGAGCTACTGAGCGGTGGTCAGGACGACACGGCGGCGGCGAGAACAACAACGTCGTCGTTGGTGGATTTGAATAAGTGATTCTCGACTTGAGCCTCAACGTTGTCCTATGGATGGTTGCCGGGAAGTGGCACTTCGAATCCGAGACTATGGACGGTGAGGAGGACGGGAGAGCCACCGTGCGGCAGATTCAGAAAAGTCGTCGGGGAGTTTTACAATTATCTAGATATGGACGGAATAAGGGGATGAGAAAATTGATTTTTGGTTTCAATTTATTTTACTGTATTTTGTTGATTTTACTGTTTTACCCCTGTTATTACTATAACAACACTTAAGGTGTTGTTATATCCGCTCTCTAAAGCTGTTAAGCTGACAAGAAGGCGGGGGGAAAAGGAGGACGAGGAAGCATTAGTCTATACTATATACTTAGGTGTCCGAGCAATTGGACCAAAGCTATCAAATCAGAATGGTTCATTTTATTTGGATTTTTTCAGAGTTTATGTGTTAAAAGTTGTTTTCTTGATTTTTTGTGGTAAAAGTTAGTGGACTAGTATATAAGTGAAATCTTTTATGCAACGGTTAAAATCATTATGTCTATATCTAGTCGTTCAAGTAAATAGACCGATCACTATTATTATTGGTTTGTGGTTCTACTGGTCCAGCCGTAAATCGGTTCAATTCATGTAATATGTGTATTTTCTAGGTCGGTTGTCCTTCAACCATCGCCGTTGAAGAAACGTACCGGCCAACCGTACTGAAAGCCTGAATTGCAGAGCGGCACAAGAGCAAAGAACATACGGGGAGGGCAATATGAGGACCATTGGCAATCCCCGAAGTGCGCTATCGCTGAGTTTGTCGATGCCACTCCGCTCTTTCTTCGACTCACAAGAGCCAACCGCTTCTGGTCCTTTTCACTCGCAGGTAAACCCTCTTCTTCTGAAATGGGTTTTCCCCTCCGCCATTTTTTTTCATACGTTTTCCTCGTCAGCCGAGCACGAAGGTTAAGCTCATTGTTTTTCCTGCGTGTTGTCCTGATTGATGTGCTACCGCCCAAGTCTAGGCGTTGCTCCACTGTGTGCATCAGTAGCGATCCTCCTCAGGTGGATAACAATGTTGGCGAGGGTGAAGGAGGGGCCGGTCATGGTGTTAATCGCAGAACCTCGAACAAGACAAAGAAGGCGAAATCCATGGCGCGGATTATTAGTTCCAAACCCTGGTCAGCTGAGGTCGAGACCCTCTCTCTCCACCATATCTTCATCAATCTCCAAGACCACAGTGATGGAAGTTCTCCGTCTCGTGAAAAACCCATCAAATGCCCTGGAATTCTTCAACTGGGTTCCCAAAATGGGGTTCACCCACGACCAAGACTGTTACTTCTCGATGCTGGAAATCTTGGGTCGCGCTGGAAAACTCAATGCTGCTCGTAACTTCCTCTCCTCCATTGAGAAAAAGTCTAAGGCGCTGTGAGGCTTCATGACCGGTTCTTCAATAGCTTGATTCGGAGCTACGGTGATGCAGGGTTGTTTAATGAGTCTCTAAAGGTTTTCGCTTTGATGAAATCGCTAGGCGTGTCTCCATCTGTGAGAACTTTCAATAGTCTTTTCTTGGTCTTGCTTAAACGAGGAAAGACCAATATGGTCAAGAGCATGTTTGATGATATGCTACACACTTATGGTGTTTTTCCTGATACGTATACTTTTAACATTCTGATTAGAGGGTTCTGTAAGAATACCTTGGTTGATGAGGGATTTAGGTTCTACAATCAGATGGTGGAATCAAAATGTGATCCTGATGTTGTTACCTATAACACGCTTATGGATGGGTTGTGTAGAGTAGGCAAGGTACAGACCGCACATAATGTGATGAAGGGGATGAATAAGAAAGGTAGGGATGTGAAACCTGATGTTGTTACTTATACAACTTTGGTAAGAGGTTATTGCATGAAACTGGAGATCGATGAGGCTATGGCGGTTTTCGAGGAGATGGTTGAGAGGGGGTTGAAACCAAATGATATTACTTTTAACACACTAATTAAGGGGCTCTGTGAGGCGCAGAAGTTTGACAAGATCAAAGAGGTTCTCGAGGGTGCCTTAGGTGGTGGAGGTTTTACTCCTGATACTTGTACTTATAATACACTATTGTATACACATTGCAATGCGGGGAATCTTGACGATGCATTGAATGTGTTTGAGAAGATGATGGAATTAAAAGCTCAACCTGATTCTGCTACGTATAGTGTTCTGATCAGAAACTTATGCAAGAAGAAGGATTTTGAGAGAGCAGAGAAACTTTTTGATAAGCTTTTCGAAAAGAAGATTCTAGTGAATGACAATGGCTGTACTCCTCTTGTTGCAGCTTATAGCCCAATTTTTGAGTTCTTGTGTAAAAGTGGCAAGACTTACAAGGCGGATAGAGTGTTCAGGCAGCTGATGAGGAGGGGAACACAAGATCCTTCTTGTTACAAGACTTTGATCATGGGGCACTGCAGGGAAGGTGAATTTGAAGCTGGTTATGAACTTCTGGTGTTGATGCTAAGAAGAGGCTTCCTCCCTGAATTCGAAACTTATCAGTCATTAATTGATGGCTTCTTGCAGAAAGGGGAACCCGTTCTGGCTCAGCAGACACTAGAAATGATGTTAAAGAGCAGTTACCTACCTACAGCAGCTACTTGTCACTCTATACTAGCACTACTACTGGAAAAGGGGTGTACTCATGAATCAGCTAGGTTTATTAAACTGATGCTGACGAGGAAGATTAGGCAAAATATACAACTTTCTACGGAAACTGTGAGGTTACTGTTTAGCAGGGGACAGAGAGATAATGCATATCAGATTACTGATCTACTCAATGAAAACGGTTACATAATCGACATGGAGAAAGTGATAAGTTTTCTTTGCAGAAGTGCAAAGCTGTTGGAGGCACAACAGATGATGCTATTTTGGTTGGATAAGGCTGGTAAGCATCACTTGATTGACGTTAGCACTTGCAACGCCATCATTGAGGGTCTCTGCAAGAAGAAGAGGCTTTCTGAGGCATTTCAGTTGTTTGTAGCTTTGGTGGAGAAAAACAAACATAGAGAGCTGATCTGTGCAGAAGAATTAGCTGCTGCTTTAGGTGCCAAGGGACAAGTAGAAGAAGCTAGCTTCATAAATAAGAGGATGCAAAACCAGTGGGAGTCGGTTAAATTTCAAACACCTCTGGAAGTTGCTGAGACATGAGACTCGCAGCGGCGACTGAGAATACAGGAGACTTGCATCAGCGACTGAGAATGCAGGAGACTCGCAGCGACGAGACATGGGTGGCTGCCAGAGAGGGGAGTCGCAGTCAGGCAGCTGGAATCAAGATCATCGGGAACAGGAAGACAGATCAGAATTATTACTGGACATCAGTTGCCCTCACTAGTCAGACTTTGACAGGTACAAGAACCAAGTTTTAACTTGCTTACTTTTACCCTGGTTGATTGCGGGGCAGGCTACATGACATGACATGACTACTTGTACAAGTGCTTCTGTATTATGTTTACGTTGAACTCAATCTAGAAAAGACAGCTGTATATATCATAGCTGATTATCCTCACTTGGTATTTATGAGTTATGATCGAGGTTCAGTGACATTCCTGAAACTCTCGCGGCGGTTGAGTCATGTAAACTTCTTCACCGAGTTCGTTGTTTCTGTGTTTTGATTCTACTGCTTGATAAAATAAACTCGCTTGCACCAGACAACATTGTGATCAGCAAGTCACACCAGAATTTAAATACCATCGAGACTAACTACTGAAAGTAATCACGTATCAACTGTTCGAAATAACTGACTATCCCGAGGATGATCCCCCCTTGAACACTCATAATTCTGTGAAGTGAAGCTCGTTGGAAGCGAATTGCTCTAGAACATTTTCATTACATAGAATCTGGAGCTCAAATCTCCAGTTTTTTTCAAGACGAGAGAGCGAACAAGCAAAGAAAACAGTATAAGAAAATTGAATTTCTCAATACTTGGTATCAATTTGTAAGAATTGAATTAGACAAGAGCAAGCAACTCCAGGCTCTATACAATTTAGCGACGAAAAAGCAAACAATAAAATAGCTCGAGTGCGTGTAGTAAAAATAGCCACAACGGTCATGAAATTTATTCCCGTCATAAAATGAAGAGCAACGTAAAGCAAAGGTTTCTTCTTCGGGTTTGAACTTGAAGCAAAAATTGAACTGCTTTTTCTCATGTCTTCAAAGGTGGTCGCAAATGGCCCTTGTGAAATCAGATGTTGTAGAGCTGCCGCCGAGATCTGCTGTTCGGTACTTTCCTTCGGCGATGGTTTCAAGAACGGCCTTCTGAATCCTATCTGCCTTATCGTGGAGTTCCAGATGCCGCAACATGGAGACACCACTCAGGAGCAGAGCAGTTGGATTTGCGAGGTTCTGCAAAAATTTCCAAGCGCCGAAAGTGTTACGACAACAAGCATATAGGAAAGTTAAGATTTAACCACAACAGAAACTAGCATGAATACCAGTGGTTCATCCATAACAACCAAATACTACGAGGTTCAAACATCTTTCACGTTGCTCTGTCCCCGAGGACTTTGGTTAAGTTCTGATACTCATCTTTAAGATTTACTAAACACATGCGAGAATATTAGTAATGGTCTAATGGAGCTAACCTTCCCAGCAATGTCAGGGGCAGAACCATGGACAGCCTCAGCAAGAGCTATTCCTCCCTCACCAATATTGCAGCTGTCACAAAAGGAAGTTAGAATTGCAGTCAGATCACATGCTTAACATGATAAACAGAAAAAAGTACAAGGGGAAAAGAGGGGGAAAAAAGGATTATTCTAAAGGGTACAACCTTGGCGTCAATCCCAGACCACCAATTAGACCAGCACAAAGATCGCTGATGATGTCACCATAGAGATTAGGCATAACCAACACATCGAAAAGAGCTGGATTCTTCACAAGCTGTTTATGCATTCACGGAAACAAGTATCAGCAGAGTTGCTTGGCTTTTTTAATCCAAGAGTGTTACATTACTATTAGTGATATTAAATATGCAAACTTCAACGGCCATTGGACAGTCTCAATGTTCTTCAATTAAACTAAAGCATGAAAGAGAGGGTGCGGCAGTTATTGTAATTTCACATACCATCATGCAACAGTTGTCAATGACAACCTCTTCGTATGTGATCTCAGGATACTTCTCAGCAACCTCACGGCAGCACTGCAAAGCCCATTACACCAGCGTTGAACAAAATAGAAAAACAAAAACCAACAAAAAGAATAGCTGTGCTTCGTATAAGAAGGATCAACAGTATCTTTACCTTAAGAAAAAGACCATCAGTTTTCTGCATGATGTTAGCCTTATGAATCGCAGAAACTCTCTCTCTTCCGTGAGCCTTTGCATAGTGGAAAGCATATTCAGCCACCCTCAAACTTGCCTGGCGAGTAATGATCTTGAGACTTTCAACCACACCTCTCACCACCTACTCACCAAAAATCACCATCATGTCAAAGTTTATCAAGGTTGGCTAGGTGCAAGTTAGCCAAAACCAGAAAGAAAGCTCACTTGGTGCTCAAGTCCACTGTACTCTCCTTCAGTGTTTTCACGAATGGTGACGAGATTCACGTCATCATACCGGGTTTTGTAACCAGGAAGGCTGTAGCAAGGCCTGACATTGGCGTACAGGTTAAGTTCTTTCCTGAGAGTGAGATTCAAAGAACGATGGCCCTTTCCAATTGGTGTAGCCATTGGCCCTTTCAGACCCACTCGGTTTCTTCTCACCGACTCTAAACTTTCCCATGTCAGAAAGCTCTGGGTTCTAGGATCTATCTCGGTCCCAACATAATGTTCTTCCCATTCAATTGGTACCTCGGCTTCCCTGAAAATCTGTATGTACCCACACTCAAATCATATAGATATATGACAAACAATAAGCATAATTGCTACAAGCAAATTAGAGAAGAATTCCACAATGAGGCAAACAAACACAATCTTCCACCTCATATTGAGAATTTCCTCAGGTGACATTCTATCCATAGGAGTAACGATTCTCTGTTTGATTTGCTAGAATTCAAGAATTCCTACAAAAACATGTTCAGGCTAGCCAGTAGGGTGAAAGTGACTCCACGTTTTTCATGTACCTATAAAACTCCACTGACCATTCAGACTGAAGTGTCATGATACACATCGTCCTTTAATAGTCCTTTCTCAGCAAGTTAGTGATTCAATGAAAGGGAAACAGCTATTTATTTATTGCAAGCTATGAGCTTTATTTCCCCAAACAGTTCTTCATGGTGGTACGTCTATTTTTCTGTCCAAGAGTTCACGGAAACTCCAGCTACTTGAGAATGGCTTCATATAATTACATAGACGGCTTTCGATTCATGTGGATGTTTCCTGGTCCTAGATTTGGCCCTTGCATGCACCTTGCTAGACCAGATATTTCCAAGCTTGACCACGCAAAGGATGGAACGTCATCTTCATTCATCACCAACCAAACAAATAGAAGGAAGAAAACAAAAAACTGACTTTTCACCATATGATGCTTTCTCAGCGAAATCTCGAAACAAGCAATTGCCATCTCAGGCCGACGAAAGACGAGTGCACACCACCAAACAAAGTCCAATCACGCTCACTTTGCCATTCAAGGAAAATCAAATCGAATCAAAGCTAAAATTCCATACAAAATATCATAAAACCACGGCGAGAACTGCAAGAAGGACGCCACTTGCGAGGGAAAACAAGGAAAGGAGAGACAAGCGAGGAAGGAAACCTGTTTCACAGATTCCGCGATCTCGGGGCCGATACCGTCGCCGGGGAAGAGAGTGGCCGTGATTGGAGCCGAAGAGAAAGCCCTAGCGGCGGAGAAAGCGGACGGGGACGAGAGGATCTGGTCAGGGCGGCTTCTTAGAGCGCGGCTCAGGATCTGCTTGAACGCCATGATCGCCGGAGAGGTCTGTGGTATGTGTTGGAATTTTACCCTTTCGAGTTCTCGACGAAAGACAAGAGACAGGAGGAGAAAATCGTGCCACTGAGAAAGAACGAGAGAAGAGCCAAACGCGACTCTGGGATAATAATAAATTTAATGAATAAATAATAATTTACAAGTGGTTCGTCCGGTTAATCGGTCGAACCGTTCATTCCCTTTTTTGGCACCTAAACCAGCTACAACCCGTTCAAATCAAAACCTAACCTAAAACCCCAAGACCTCTTCCTTTTCTGCTCCATCTTCCCCATTGATCACAGCTGCTTGCCTGCGACTCCTCTCTCCGGCAGTCGCTTCTCCAACGCCGCCTCAACTCTCCTCGTGCTGGTAATTGGTTGATTCAGCTCAATTCACTGAGCTTACATAGTGAAAAGCTCATTTCTTCGACCGATTGCGTCATTTCATTGCAATGGTATTTGGAAGGGTAATGGTTCCTAATGTTCAAATGGTCAGCAAAATGAAATTGCTACCCTAATAGCAGCATATCCTTAAAAATCTTCTCGTGTTACAGAACAGCATCTCAGACTCATTCATGATTCCACATTAATGTTGTTACAACCCGACCACTGAAGAAAAGAACACAGTTAATCAGAACAAAGCTACTTCGATCAGTCGAGGTAAACTTTAACACCAATCCCATTATCAATGAGAGACTGAACCACAGCTCTTATTTTCCCTTCAAACTGTCCTTCTCCCTAGGAGTGTAGACAGCAGTGTAAACGTCAGCTTCCCTTGCCCTCTCGCCCAGAATCCGGCCAATGGCCAGGCAGGCAGGAACGTCCGATCTCGACTTCAGCACGGCCTTGATGTCCTTGGAGTTCGTCCCAGCCACTGCAACTTGCTTGCTCGTCACCCTGTGAGTGAGCGATGCTGACACGAACCGCTTCGAGATGAACACGTCCAGTGTGAACGGCTCGAGGAATGCTTGTGTCCTTTGCTTGAAAGAGATGTTCTTGTTCGGGTTCTTTGATACTTTACCCTTCTGGAAAGTGTATGGCCTGCTGTTTTCATCGTCCAGAAAATCCTCTACCCCAAAGAAGCTTCTTGGGGCATTCTGTGTCTTGTCAGTATGGTATGAAACAAATTTTCAAAGTTAAGTCAAGGCAGAAAGTTGTCCATTTGCGTACAATCCTGATACAATAAATTTTCTCATAGGCCGTGTTTGGCTGATGTATTGCAGATTTTGCAGTGATTGATCATGCCAGAATTCATGTGTTGATGTTTGTTTAACTCCATTATTTGGTTCACCAAGCAGAAGGAGAGCTTGATGCACTTGGAAAATAACTTTATGGACTTGTAATAAATTATAGCTCACCCCTCATCAGAAATTCATCAATCCAAGTACCAGATTCTCCTCAATATTAACAAGAAAGATATCAACAGTTGCTACTTCCACTTAATAATGAACCCAACCCATACAGAACCTACATATAACGATCTATCACAAAAGTATATAACAAACAATCTATTAGTTCCTAAAATCCATCTACTTCTCAAAGTCTCAAATTCTATGGCAATTGGCACAAGTCATGGGATGGTGAGGTGAAGGAAAAAGGAAGTACCTGTCCAGTATGGAAGCCCACAATTGCTGCATTTGAGAAAGGTCCAAGCTTTCTGCTTGAGGTCGACAGAACTTCCCCGCCCAGGACTTTGCCAAGCGCTTGTTTCAACATGTGATACTCCAGTTACTTGAACTAGACAACCCAGTTCAATTCAGTGGCCCTTCTCCGTCTATTATACCATGTGAGTAGGAGGAAATAAGAGATTAAACGAAAGAATGGGCAGCAAGGGAACCAGAGTTCGCATCAACTGCGTCCATACTATTTAAATTACCAACTCAGGCCCACGATGAAAGAGTTCCTGACACTCAAACATGCAATTCATCAAACAGTTTGCGTGCAAGTCCATCCAGGCCAGAAGCCAAAGCTAGCTTCCAGTTCATGAATTAGGTTTCTCAGTAAGAGCACCAATTCAGAGTTAACACTTCAATACATCCCCATTCCAAGGAACAGTGAAATCAATCAAAAGAAGCCTTCTCAATCCGAAGTCCAAGAACCATCCAACCGGAAACCAATACAACTAAAACCATATAAGCAACAGAGGGTTTCGGGAAGTAACCTGAAGCTTTATCCGTTTGGGATCGCCAGTTGGCTAATAGTCTGTGAGTTGCTGGCGTTTGGATTCGCCGGCGGCTATATATTACGGTCCGCGGAGAGCCAGCTCCATTCGCCTCTTTCGAGTTCGACGAAAGACGGAGAGAAGGGGAAAAGCGTTCCCCGCCGGAAAACAGAGAGAAAAGACTGAAGAGACATACGCAACACAGTGATAATAAAAATTAGTTATTTATTTCAAGCGGTTCATCCGGTTGACAGGTCGAACCGCTCTTTCCCTATTTTGGCAACTAACTAACTAACCGTCCAAATCGAAACCCTAACCTAAACTCCCAAGAAGATATATGTTCCTTCCGCTCTTTCCTCCATTTTCTCCCCACATTGATCCCAGCTGCTTTGCCTTCGGCTCCCCTCTCGTGACTGCCTCCTTCACTGCGTCTCAGTTGTGGCAGCTTCGGTTGCGCGGCGGAGCACAGATAAAAGCTCTCGTGGATCCCCGCGGTGCTCTGGTAATTGTTTGGTTGAGTTCAATGTTCGTTGAATTTACAGTAGTGAAAAGGCTCATTTCTTTCAATCAATTTGTCATTTCATTGTAATGGCATTTGGAAGGGTAATCTTTCGTAATGTTCAAATGCTGAGTTAAGTGAAATTGGCAAATTGCTAACATCCGGTGATTTAGTTAGTATGGGCTAGGCTAATTTTTTGGGACTGAATCATTCTTTGTGAGACAAATGTGATGTCTTTTTCGAGTTTTTAGTTAGCTTTCTAATGTAGTTGATTGTTGGATCCTTTGATGACTCTGCTTAGATGAGTACATCCTGCGTTTGGGTTACTTCTGAGCTTCTGTTGTGGTGCTGAGATTTTCATTTGCTCCATCCAGGGTAGTTTACTGCAGATATGCACACTATTCACCGCGTAATATCTCGGTTATCCTCAACCACGGTGTGCAGTAGTACACCTGCATCGAGATTTCTAAAGGAAACAAGTGCTACATCTGCATTTGGTGCTGAAGCAAGTCAATTCATTAGGGCACGTGGCTTTTCTTTACAGTCGGGCGGTAGTGGTGGTGGTGGTGGAAATCAGGGAACGAACGATTGGGAAAATTCTGCTGCAGGTGGATCGTCCTTCGGTTCGACCGGGTCTGATGATCTGGGATGGGACTCTGTTTCATCATGGTCAACTGGATTGACCAAGGATCATTTTGATGGGGAGATGGTTGGCAAGATGGCAAGTTCAACTGGCAAGGAAAACACAGCTTCTCAGTCGTTGAAGATATCTGAGTTGCAGGATCTTGATGATAAGCTAAACGAACTGGATGCAGAGAACAAGAAAGGGAGGGCTTTTGTTAATGGATGGGGGGAGAGATTACGCGAAATAAGTGGGTTGTTGAAGCAAGTAGAGGAGCCTGGTGCTAGAGGATCTTATCTTAAGGATTCAGAGAAGGCAGAGATGTATCGGTTGCACAAAGAGAACCCTGAAGTGTACACTGTTGAGAAGCTTGCCAAGGACTACAGAATCATGAGGCAGAGAGTGCATGCCATTCTCTGGCTCAAGGAAGAGGAGGAAGAGGAGAGAAAGCGTGGTCGTATCCACGATGACTCAGTCGAACTTTTGCTTGATACCTGCCCAGAGTAAGTCACCAATATCCGATGTTTCGTGTGGTCAAAGAGCACTCATAGAATGCCAAGAATTTATCATTAGTTTTCAACGGCGAGCATGAACATTTCATCAGTTATATGACCAATATAGTTGAGTTTCCTCAGACACTATTTTAACCTGGTCTTTTCTTTTCTTGCTCTGGCAGATTTTTCAATTCCCATGACAGAGAGTTTCATGTAGCATCTCTTCCTTACAAACCTGATTTCAAGGTGATGCCCGAGGGTTGGGATGGTACAACTCGGGATCCAGATGAAGTCCACTATGAGATATCCATGAAAGAAGATGAAATGCTGTACCAAGAGTTTGTCCAGAGGATGGAATTCAACAAAATGAAAGTAAGTTTCGTAATGCTTTCGACCATTTTATACTGTAAGGTGAAAAGTTGCTTTCCATCTGGACTTATTTAGCCATTTCGTGCCTTAACTTCTTGGTCATTTGGACTTATCTCCTCTACTTGTCATTCCCCTCCGATGTTGTGTGTAAAAGAAGCACAACTTGTATTTCTGAAGCGATTGAGGGAAAGTTGAGAAATTTTCGTTCTTGCTTTGTTTTGTGAGTTCTGGCGGGTTGTCGGGTCTGAAAATCTTTGTGAAGGTGGTTGTTAACAATATAGTGACTCCACGCCAGTGGAATATGGATCTTCTGTGGTTTAATTATTGTGTTTGTGGCCTCGGCAATATGATCCATATATCTTTTGGCAAGTGTGTGTGGTATGTGGAAGAAGCCTGCTTTCCATATGATGATAACGATGTCCCTTGTTACAGATTGCTGGGAAGGTTAAATGCCACAAATATAGTAGGCGGCGCCCATCTGAAGGCTGGAACTTCACGGTGGAGAAAATGGGCCCTCAAGGAAAGCGTGGAGGTGGCGGTGGCTGGAAGTTTGTAAGTTTACCAGATGGCTCCAGCCGACCTCTAAACGAGACAGAGAAAGTATATGTGAAGCGAGAGACTCCACGACGGAGGCGCAAGATTTTCCCATGATTTCATTATCATCAGATTCCGACGGCAAGGGTTATTGATTAGGGAGTAGTCTGGGAATATCTTCAGTGATACGAGCTTGGGGGTAATCACTCTGTATAATAAGAATGAAAGGAAGGCAGTTGGAGCTGGGTTCATTTGTTTTTCTCTTTTCTTTGATGTACTGGAAAATGGGTGAAATCTAGCCCTCTTTAACTATACATTCAAACAATTTCCTTCCATTCTTGGTTTACAGTTGATATAAACACAGAGAAAAATACTCGTCTTAGGCCGTCTTCAATCCTCGGGTGGAAGCTTGTATATGCCATAACCAGTATTTTGTAGGACCCTTTATGGCTCTCTCTGCACAACTTTTCAAAACCTCTAACAGCTCTCCCTATGAAGTATGAACCATGCTTGCATGCATGCACATTTCCTTGCGATTCAAGGTCCCCAAGAACTAGACACTGACCCTAGCTAGCGGGATGCGATCAACTGGGTCTGGCACTTGGATCAGTGAAGGAGGCTGCAGCGACCATGTCTTTAGATTGCTTAGTGACCGACGATGATGATGACTCGACCAGCTCTGGTACTTGATCAAGCATTCGGTTAATCTGCCCTTCGAACTCACCCTTCGCCCTGTTGCTTTTGCCTCCAATAACCAATGACGTTCCATCTTGTAAAGCCCATATCTTGTTGAATAGAGAAACAAGAACAAGAAGACAGACAACCAATTAGCATTTGAAACCAAGAAATACAACAAAGAAATCAAGAACAGCATTAATGTTCACAGAGCCATCTGCAAAAGCAGATCAAAATAGTGAAGCAAAAAATATCAGATAAGATGCTGATGATAAGATGCAAAAGCAGATAGTCCGCAAAAGCAGAATACCAACCTGTGCATGTGATAAGATGCTGATGCATGTTGTGAGCATTAGAGCACCGAATCCGCTGTACACTACTGGAACTCCAGGGTCAGTCTGATTCAAAGTAGCAAGTAGGTAAAGTTCGGTTTTCGAACTAGTTCGAAGAATATTAATTTCATAATGGTTCAAATACCTCAAAGCAAAGTCATACCTTAAGCTCAAGACCGCTGCTTCCAATTGCATCTTCAATAATAATTTTCATCCCATCAATCTCAATTGGAAGCTTGGAGTTAGGTCGTCGAACTCCAACGAATTTCCCTTCTTGATCATACAACACAATGGACTGTAGATCACGAGCAAGCATTGATCTGAAAGGGGGGGGGGGGGGGGGGGGGGAAGTAGTTCAAGCAGAAGACCTTTTTACGTAAGTATCAAGTTAGAAAGCCAGATTTGTAAAAGGAAACAAAAAGGAACAGAAACAGAAACTAATAGATTGACAGGGCATGCGTACATTCCCTTGACGTTAGGAGCATCAATACTCCCAACTGGTAAGATTGTCCCGTAGAGTTTCTTATCCCCGTTTACTTTTAGTGGCGCCATTGGCAGATTGAAAGGTCCTTCCCCATCTTTGACTACTTGCAATGCTGAAATGCTCCAGTCAGTCTGATAAATTGTAAACCCGCCATAACGTAGAGGATCATTCACACTGATTGTTTTCCTCATAACTTCCTTCCATCAAGATTTAACAGTGATAGGTCCGTATGAAACTGCGAAACCTATAGAAAACAATGATGCACACAAGTTATTTTGATGAGATGAGTTGCTACTATTAACGGTCAAGAAAAGCTTGATCATCTGAAAACAGATAAAGATGGGATGTACCTCTCCACTCTCATAGTAGTCCATGGAGAACTTGTTGACGTGAACCTCAGTGCTGAAAGCTTCAGTGGGAAAGGAGAGAAACCCACTTGGTCCCAGCACATCTCCTACAACAAAATTCAACCCTTGTGGAACTGTAACCGATCCCCTAAAGCTTCCTGTGGCGCTAAGAGTTGCACCCACCATTATCAGCAGCATGGCTAAGTGTACTCCAATTGGGGTGTACCGACCCACGAGACCCTTAAATGCATATAGACGTGGCCCCTTAAGAAAAACCTACATTGATGATCAAATCAAATCAAATCCATGCTCAGTAAGCACCACCATACACAACAAAATCACTATTAGTCATTTACATTTTGAAGAAGGGTAATCTACCTCATATCCAGATCCCATCAGGATCACACCCAAATCTTGAACTGACGCCTGGGGCAATGTTTCGGAGAAGTCCTGCTTACGAACAGCCTCAGGTGAGTCCATGAATTTCCATCTGCACATACCACAATGAATTGAAGTAGTAGTGCCAGTCAGTGAACAATTTGCAATCTGTTATCAGCTTCGTGTGGTCGTCATTTCACTACTACCAAGTACCAAACTAATCAAACCTTCTTGCGACCTTAACGAGGGGAATCTGAGTTGTGTACGTGCAAGCCATTAGAGAAGCCCGAGAAGCGCCAAAGTTGCCAGGAAAACAGGAGACGAGAACATGTGATCAAAACCAAGGGCGAGAACCCATCTCCACGTAATGAACCCATATGAAGGACTCTCTTCCGGGTAGTTCTGGAAATAGTACTCCGGTGTCTCACCTTGATCAATCACTGTACCTGCAGAAGAATGCTTGTGAACTCGTATCGGAAGTCAAAATGGCGTACCAACGATCCAAACACAATGGGTTAAATCACGATAAGACGATAATGATTCAGCAAAAAGAGTGAAATTCAGGTAGTAAAATGCGGCAAAAGGAGCGATTCCAAAATTTTCTGGCAATTACCAAGAGCCATAAGCGCAGCAATCACGAACATTTCTCCGATGGCCAGAGGCAAATTAGACAGCAGAGACAAAACCTTCCTCGACAACTTCTTCACCGACCGCGACACCGCACTACTTCCACTCCCAGCCTTGACGGGATCCTCCTCCTTCCCGCTGCCGCCGTTCTTCTCCGCCTCCTCGGACAGCGGCGGAGCGGAATTCCACAGCTCAATCTTCTTAGAAGCGTTCTGCTTCATGACTTCTCCAGAGGATTTCAGCTTGCAGTTTATTAAGGTTAACGGAGGAGGGAGTTGGGTTCTGGAGCGGTTGCGGGATGTGTAGAGGTGTTGAGGCTTGAATTTGAAGGTGGAGTTGACGAAATTGTGACAAGGCTTGAGGAAATGCAGTCTGGAGGGAGATTGGTGCAGCGTTCCCGCCGGAGTCATAAGAACCTCCATTAATGGAGCTCTGAGGCTTTCTTCTTGGAGTCCAAAAGATCAGAGTTTGGTGGTGGAACAACCAATTTTTCAAATTCCTTTTATCCGGAAATTATAATGTAGAACGTAGTGACGTGGACCATTTAGCAGATGCCAGGTAGAAAAGAGATGGCGGATATTTCATTTAAAAAATAGGTGACGTGGACCATTTAGCAGTTGCCACGTGTTAAAATGGTGGATAAAAACATAAATAAATTGGAGATGCGGGGAATCGAACCCCGTGCCTCTCGCATGCGAAGCGAGCGCTCTACCATATGAGCTACATCCCGATTTGATAACATTTTATCATACAAACTATATTATAATTTAAAAAAACTTAACCAGTTTTCAATTATCTTCCCAAAATCACGGCCACGGCCACACAGTCCTTTCCCTCCCACAAAAAAACAGAGCACTGAACTCGCAAGAATGCTCCACTCTCTATCCTTCCAGCCTTCTTCTTCCACTTCCTCCAAACCCTTCACCTCCCGCCGGCGGCTCCCATCGCCGCCACCAGGACCACCGCCGATCCACATCAAGTTCGACACAACCCGCCGCGAGCATCTCCGGTACCTCAAATCCATAGGGGTAGTCCACCCAAACACACAACTCCACAAGCTCCCATCTCCCGATTCCACCTCCAAAATCATCTCCATCGTCGACTTCTTCAAATCCAAGGGCTTCTCCAACGCCGACTTCCCCCGCCTCGCCTCCATCGGCCCGAGCTCTTCTCCCCAAATTCGACGTCTCCTACATCGAGCCCGTCTTCCAATTTCTCACCTCCGACCTTGGAGCTTCCCTGAACAGTCTCGGGGTCTGATCACCCGATGCCCCGACATTCTCTTCTCCGATGCGGAGCACTGTCTCCGGCCGACGCTGGACTACTCAGGCGAATCGGGGTGGAGAATTTGCACGTGCCGAGCATCTTGAATGCCTATTTGTTGAACATTCGAGTCGGGAAGTTGCAGTCCAAGGTGGAGTTCTTGAGGAGCATAGGGTTCTCGGAAGAGGAGGCGGCGAGGTGCTGTGCGAGGATGCCTGCGATATTCAAGTACAGTGTGGAGAATAACTTGAGGCGCAAGTATGTTTACCTTGTGAAGGAGATGGAGAGAGGGTTGGACGAGTTGAAGGAGTTTCCGCAGTTTCGGGTTTAGCTTGGAGAAGAGGATTGTGCCGAGGCATTTGCATTTGAAGGACATGAACGTTAGGGTGAAGCTGAATATGATGCTGATGTGGAGCGACCAGAGATTCTATGCTAGGTGGAAGAAGAAGAAGAAGACAACAGGGCTGCCTAAGCGAAATTCGGGCTCTTCTGACGGACTGTCGTAGCTACAACTTCAGTTGTAAGTTTGAGAGGAGGAGTCTAGCAATAAAAACTATTGAATCGTGATTCGAATCCTTCAAACGACATTATCTAGCTGATGCAACCGTGTTTTGATTGTTAGTACGAGAAAAGTGCGAAACAGGGGCTCAATTGTTGCTGCTTAAGCTACTAGTTCTGTCATCTGTGAGCCTTCTGATTTCACTGCTCGCTGCAAGTACTCAAACAAGAAAGCAGGTTCTTGGTTCACATTGTCAGGCACTAGTTTGCACGGAATGGTACATGTAACCGCTAAAAAGGCGATATGAACCAACAACTTCGAGAATCCGCTTGTGATAAATGTTTCTAGCCGTTGGAAGAAACTATGTTTCTCTAATGTTTAGTGCATAGGCGGAAGTTAACTCGTACAAGCAAGCCAAGAACTGGGCTTCTAAAGGGTCTTGCTATCGATTAACTGAGGTCCCTTTCCATCTGCATAACCTATCACATAGAAAGAACAGGATCAAGAACAATTGAGGGAAATGCTGCATTTACTGTTCTCACATTCAAAGCAACATTTTACCTAGGGAAACACGGGTTTCATGGCTGCTTCACTAGCATTTCGATATCAGCTCCTACTTCAGAGATCTTAGCATCCTTGGACGTCTTGGCTTCTTTTGCAATCTTATCGACTTCAAAGTCCAAAGCTATTCTTTTCACCAGACCATCAAGCATCTGTTTCACAGAAGTAGACCATCACTTATTGAAACAAAGATGGTTGATAAACATTACTTGCAGTTAAGCTGCAATGTAAAATTGAACACCTAAGTAAGAACATTTAACACATAAATAAATAAAATTAACTACATACGAGGGATCCAATGGCGACAAGAGCCCGGAACTTCGAATCAACATCCAGACTTTCCTGTTCTGCTATCTGTAAAAACAGTAGAAGATATTGTTTAAGGCCAAATCTTGATAAATAAAAATGAATGAAAAGATCAGTATCAAGATCACAGTAGCTGCTTCCGTACAACCTATTCTTCTTTTCTCCCTTAGTTCTTTTATTTTACCACTAGAGTTAATTTGGGTATTAAGCAAAATAATGGATGGACTATACCTCAAGAGCGGCAGAAAGAACATGTGATTGACCCTCTTCATCTTTCTTCTCTATTAGTAGAACTGCATAGCTACATAATTCAAAGATTTATATTGGTGAACATTTGCCAACAAGAGAAGCAATGATTATTGATTACTTTAACTGCTGGTTCTTTCATTTTTACAACTCATTTACAATCCATTTCTTATCATTATTAGAGTTAATACAGGGAAAATGCTTACTTAAGTATCATGGTTGAATAAGCCAACTGCAAGTTCTTGTCACTCCGTACTCGAACTTGTAGCCAAGCAGAGCCCCGATCGGTAGCCCGAACACATAGTAACACACAATGTTTATCAGTGCAACCTGGAACTGCCATCCTGCCCCAACCGCTACCCCTGCAATCAAATTCGACACGCGAAAACATTAGGATCGACATCGCGTATTAAGGCAAAGACAGACGCGGAGAGCTAGCAGGCGTATTGAGGGGTGGGGGGAAGTTAAAAAAAAAGGTTACCGTGGAGTACTGGCAGGATGCTGTCCAGGAAGATAGTGGCTGCCAAGAAGTAACCAAGCTTGGACGCCTCGTGGATCACCTCCGGCTTCGAAGTGAATAGCTTCGGGAACTCGTTCTTCGTAGCTAGAACTGCTGCGGCGAAGATCAGTCCTAGGATTGTTGAAGTTGTGACAGTCACCATTACTGAGAATTTCGCAGCTTTGTGGTTGCCTGCTCCTAATTCGTTCGACACTCGCACGCTGTGCAGAAAGATTCGGAGTCAGTAACTTGTACAAGTTCATCGATTTGTGTGATCGCTGATCAACAAAACAAAAGGGGGAAACAGCACTGACCTTACTGCTGCATTGAATCCCAAAGCAACCATCAATGTCCACAGCTGAATGTTCATGCTGCAAAAAATGCCAACAAAATGTCGCATATCAATGACCAAGTTTTTGACAAATGGAGTCAGAATTCGAGTTTCTCTACATAGAGAACACAAATTTCTTACCAGATGGAAATGGCATCTACAGCAATTTCCGGGTTCTTCAACCATCCAACCATCAGAATCACCACCGTGGTATACCACAGCTCCAAGCTGATTTCACAAAAGAACCTCACCATTAACAAACTCCAAAAACTCTGAAAACAGAACTAATCAAAACCCTAAATCCGCAATTCCTTCTTACCACAACATAATCGCAGAGGCAAGAGACAGCTTCACAAACCCACCAAGCGACTTGAACGCCTTCATCGAAAACCCAGTCCAAGCTTCAGGAAAATAACCAGAGACCACATAAATCATCTGACCCAAAACCACCAGCAGCCAAGACACATCCGCCACCACAGCAGCACCAACGACGCCATAACCAAGCTTGGCGACGAAAACCCAGTTGAGAAGCCCGTGGATTCCCAGCACCACGGTCGAAATCGAAGTCAAGACCCAGACTTTGCTCTGGGCTTGAAGAAACTTCTGCAGCGGGAAATTGAGCGCGTACAGGAACAATTGAGGCACAACCCAGATGGCGAATTTCCCCGCCAGCTCCGAAATTCGCCTGTCCTGGTGAAGCAGCTTCAAAATTGGGGTAGCTAGAATGTAGACCGGCGCGAGGCAGAGCGCCGTGACCATACAGATTATCCATGACCTCTGCATATAGATTCCCAGCATGTGGGTTTGCCCTGCTCCCACTGCTTGCCCGCATAGCGTCTCGAGGGCGCTCCCCATCCCCAACTGCAAACCCGTCAAAATAAATCAGTCATTTTAGTCCCAAAGACCTTAGCTTTTTTCAAAACAGGGGAGAAACAGAGGAACAGACCATGAATCCGAAGACGAAAGTCTCGAGGACGTTCTGGACGATGGAGACGGCGGCGAGCTGGAGGGAACCCAGGTGGCCGACGAATGCGGCGGTGACGAAGCTGATTGAGAATTGAGAAACCTCGGTGATTAGAGCTGGAGCTGCAATTTCCCACATGTTTTTCGACTCTGCCCACCAAGTCGGCGCCATGGTTTTGGGGTTGGGAGAAAGGGGCGCCGACGCTCCGGCGGCAGGGTGTTCTATCTCCATTGTCGTTACCACCGCCAGAGAAGGAGAAGAAGAAGCTGCCGCCGATTGCGGAGGTGGAGTCGTCGTTTTATTGTGGGAGTTTTGATGAATTGAATCTCTCGACATGGCGAGGAGTAAGTTAACCAACCACTACTCTGTAAATGCGACTTCTGTCTCAGCTGGCATATTCTCTTTCTGCCAGAGATTTGCTGAATTTATTTAATGTGTAGTAAAACAGGGGAAAGGGGAGCTGACCAGTGGAAGTCTCTATAATTGAGATTTAAATTATTGAATATGACCTTAGAGCTAAGTATTTGATTAGAATATATATGGAACCACGAGCAACATGGAGGCTGCTTACTGTTGAATTGCTAGTTGACAGAAGACGTGGGGTTTGGTATATGGTAAAGGTTGGTTTTTGGGTAGGTGAAATGGATTATGGATGTTTGATTAAGAAAAAAAAAAAACAGAGAGAGGGAGGAAGACGAAGGAGAAAGGCAAGATCAACTTCTCCTTCTTGTATTTGCCTTTTGCAATTTATTCCCGTTTCCACTGTAATGCACGAATACGTCTGAACTCTTGAATAGAATATTGGCGATGCGGAGAAAAGGGTTGATGTCGGAAAGGGGGAAAAGGACGAGGGTTTATCTAATCTTGTTGACTTTCTATTGAGTGGGCGGTTCTTGACTTCTGGTGCTGTTTTTAAGCATGTGTGGTAATCGGAATTTGGGCCGGCTCTGGCGGATCTCAGATGGGCTCAGGTTGTTGTAATGATATTGCCCAGGCCCATGGTAAGGTGTTTGGCTGGATTCTGGTCTCCTCTTCTTTTTATGCATTTAACAGGCTTTCCCCATTAACGGGAGTCTTTTGGCACACAATGTCGTTTGCTTCCTAAATTTAAAAATGAGAGTTTTGTAATTTAAAAACCCAAGGATTTGAGGCATCATGGATTTGTAACAATCCTTTGTTTGTAGGGATGTTTTTGTCATGAATTTAAAGGTGTGGGATTTACTACTTGAAGTCAAAAATTACATTACTGCCCTTTTCTATATGTTTGACATGTTTATGATATGTACACAAAACAAGGACAAAACTTCAAAATTACCTTACTATCATTTTCTATATGTTTGACATGTTTATGATATGTACACAAAACAAGGACAATACATACTAATAAGCATAATGTTGCCACATGGACAATAATAATAAACGAGAAAATTCCGTTTTAACTTTTAACGTAACATAATCAATTGCCAATTCTTTGTCCTCCTTTTCAAAAGTGACATATAACAACATATATTAGAAGCGGGAGAACAAAGAATTACACGTTTCATGAAAAGGTCAAAGAAAACTAGAACACAAGAAATGATATAAAAAATCTAACTCATGTTTGCACATTAATTGAACGTTTATATTATTCATTTATTGTTAATTATAATGTATAATAGTTAAATTTGAGGGCAACCTTGGAATATTAAAAGTACATGAGGGTATATGGGTAAAATCTCATCAAGGATTTATGCCATATTCCAAATCTCACATCAACATGTGGGATTTACAAGTCCGTGGGGTCCACGGGTTTGAACCCTTAAAATCCGTGGGCCCCACGGATTTGGTCTCCAAAAAAGGTGCAAGCAAACAACGGATTGTACCTAAATCCTTGATAGTTGGTTTTTTGGTACCAAATCCATGAAGCAAACGACCCCTTAAATATTAATAATCACGCGCGGGTTCATATTCGACTTTTTTGGGCTTGACAAAGAATCGAGGCAGGTGATTATGCGTCTCACCCGAAACAAAATTCAAAAGGTCAATTCGTCAGTTAAAATGAAAATAAATTATTTTTGACTGATTGAAATCATCTTTATTGAAGGCAAATATGCAATTAAGCATAAACCACATGTAATTAGGTAACCTGATCATTATTTTCCTTCTAATAAGTAATTACTACTAATCCTTAATGTTATCCCCTCCGCTCATTTATTAATAGCAAACTCCAGCATCCGCTACAAAATGGAAACCGCGCTGATCAGAAAACCAAAACAGAAACTCCATATAATCATTCACCTCTCTGGAAATCAAAGCAAATCCAAAACGAGGGAACCAAATTACGCAGAGAGAAACACACAAACCAACCAATTAAAAAATGGGGGTGGTGCTAATCGACGGGAACACGGTCCGCGACTTCGTGGCGAGCGAGGACCACTTCAACCGGAGCGTGGAGGAGACCTTCGCCCTCCTCGACGTCGACAAGGACGGCGTCCTGTCCCGGTCGGAGCTCCGCCGCGCGTTCGAGAACCTCCGCCTGCTCGACGCCGACTTCGGGGTCGACACGCCGACCAAGCCCGACGAGGTGACGAAGCTCCACAATTCGATCTTCGACAAGTTCGACGGCGACCACAACGGGACGGTGGACCTGGAGGAGTACCGGTCGGAGGTGCGGACGATCCTGCTCGCCATCGCCGACGGGCTGGGGTCCAGCCCGATTCAGATGGCGCTGGAGGATCACGATCACCAGAGCTTCCTCAGGCGAGCTGCCGAGCTCGAAGCCTCCAAACTCGCCAATGTCAATCCTTAGGATGATTTTTTTTTTACTTCTGTTCGATCGTTTGCACCTCTTTTGATTTGCATTGCAATCAATTTCTGATGACCTAAACTTTTTTGTATAGTTTAATTCATTGTGTTCTATGATATTATGTGGTAATTTAAATGGAACTTGTGGCATTCGTATCAATACTTTGATTTCTGCAATGAATCGACTCTTTCAATCGCTTAGACAATCAATATCCCTTTCGCGCTTTTGTGCATCCTTTCTTAAATTTTTTTTTATTGAATTGGTATGTGAAATGACATACCAATTCGTATCTCGTGTATGAAAGGGGAGAAAATACGTATTAGCGTGAGTTTCCTCGATGCTTGCCATCGCCGCGATTCATCCTCCTCCTTAACAACCTCAGTATCACCTTTGTGATATAGAGTCCCCTACCACCTCATTTCGTGGAGTTAATTTTGATGTTGGTTGTCAATAGGAATGCTCTTTGTTCATCTGGTTTGGTTGTACGTGACTCGATTCGTCAAAATTCATTGTAATCCGTAGTGACATCTTTCTTGCGGTAAATCATCATTTTCACGGCGCGTGATAAAAATTGATGTCTTCTACTGAACATTGTGTATAATATGGAGCATTTTCTCGAGTCGCTAATTGAATTGTTTATAAAATGGTACACAAAATTCTAATAATGTCTCTGGTAGAGTTAGTATCTTTTAATTTTGTAGCTTGGGTTGGCCTAGTTTTGGTTGGGGTTAATTGCACCAGATACCACGTAATTATTGGTTTCGTTACATACTAACCACTTACATTTTTTTAGTTGCAACTAAACCATATAAGTCGACTTCCGGTTGCATCGTTATATTTTTCATTCTTAATCTGAACGGAAAGTTTCAAATTGAAAATTTCCGCATCAATTTAGACAATTACATTTTTCCTCATATTCTTTCATCTTCATTTCGGTATTACCAGCGTTCTCTTTAACTATCTTATGCCCTCCTTAATTGTTTTTGTCAAAATTTACAATTGTTTCTTTTTTTATATTAATTTTTAGGTCTAATTGAATTAAACTTTGGCTTCATTCCAAATAAAATAAACTTTTTAAACTTATATGGAATGTGAAATGCAATCCATTTTCTATTTTTTCCATCTATAATATGTTTTGCATAATGTGCACCTCAATATAGGCTTTTCTTTTGGGAAAAAGTTTTTTAAGGAGCCACTCTTATAGATTGTTTAAATTCATCTATTATAAATGAATTTGTTGTTTCAATGAATATTTGAGCTGAACGAAGTTAGAAGTTATAATAGAAAGAGTCTTTCTTGAGATGAGTTCTGCACACCTGAACTTCAGGTGACAGTTACATAAAAACTAAAAGAAGCATATTGAGATTAAATACAAGGGGATGCTTTAAAGTTTAAACTGAATGACTAAAAAAGAATTAAGAAATGGTCTTATGCAGTATAATCAAGCAAAAAAAAAGTAATGAGGGAAATTCTGTTGAAGTTTTATCATAGCTTTGTTATTAGTGTTCTACTAAAGAAAGACTTACATAGCGAAACTCAGTTTTCCGACAGAAGTTTGCAGTAGAAATCCCCATCTACAACTCTATAAATAATTTATCATTTGGATCGACAACCACAGAGCAAGATAAGAAATTCAAAGGGCTATTGTGATCGGGTTTATTTAATCCTCCATTTTTTTAAAAAAATATTTAGTTTGTGGAGACTGGAGAGAAAGAAAGTCAAAGAAAAATGGTGTGGTGTAAATTAAGGTGGAAAACTTCAATTTGATACCCACCGTTAAGTTTAAGAATGAAAAATATAACGAACTAATGGTGCAATTGGAAGTCGACTTATATGGTTTAGTTGCAACTAAAAAACCTTAAATTGTTAATAGGGCAAATACAATATAATATCCATAACTATTATGTATGGGGGATTTATATACGCAACTATCAATATACAAAGTATTATCCAAAATTACTCTTTCGCGTAATTAAATGGATAGAACCCCGTTATCGTGAGTTTAATTGTAACGGTGCCGGACACGTCAGCCGCCTCGTAGGATTCCACGTAGGATTTCAATTAAGTACTAATTTTATTAACTTTCTTACCCCTTTTCATTTCAAATGTTCCCCCAAAATCCTAGGGTTGGCTCCCGACAGAGACGAAGTGAGGAAAGGTCGCCGCCACCGTCGTCGCGACCTTCACCACCGTCGCTTCCCGCCGTCGCGACCTTTACCGTCGTCGCTTCCCACTGTCTCGACTTTCACCGTCGTCGCTTCCCACCATCGCGACCTTAACCGCAGTCGCTTCTCCCCCGTTTCACAGCTTGTCCGATTGAGGAACCCTCCTAGTCCAGGGAAGAAGACTGGTTCGATCGAGGAACCATTTTTCTTCAAATCGCGAGGGTAAGTTCTTCTATTCTTCTATTAACCCTGCCCCTGTCTGCCTCTTTCCATCGTCAACTGGTTGGAATTAGGAAAAGGTTGTGCTAAAACCCTAGTTTGATACACGAATGGAATGTTTCTTTTCAGTAGGAAGAATAATGTCTGCATTGGAGGAGATCTTCTGGTTCAGCCAACACAATGACGTTGTCGGGCCGCTGTGCCATTGTAACAAAACCCTGCATCGGAACAAGTCTGGTACTAGTAGGAATCCAGGAAGGCAGTTTTATTGTTGTCAAAATTGGAAGGTAATTGTCTTTGTTGTGACGTTGGGTTTGTTTACCTATGACCTTCATCTTAGT